TTTCAATTTTTTCAGCATTTTTATAACACCAATAACATGATAAGTGTAAAAATGTTTTTCCTTTTGGATTGAAACTTACAGAACTGATGAATATTCATAATACGCAGGTCAAGTTCGAAAATTGGCTTGATTGGACTATTTTTACAAAAGTTATGCTGATTTTTCCTTTATTCAGCATACATGCAACACTGATAACGCATTTTAAGGAAAACCAATCACCTTTTGTCTTGCAACTCACAGGAGTGATCAATCTGACCAGTATACAGATCAAGTTTGAAAATAAGCTTGATCAGTTAAGTTTGATGAAGTTATTAGCCTTTTTGTATATAAGTGGTTTTTCTTCAGATTTCTTTCTTAGGCATGTTAACAGTCTCATTATTGAACTAATTAGATATGTAAAAGTGTTGTTTTGACATTTTTTGCTTCTTAACAATATTGTTGATTATATAAAAATGACGGTAAACCTATTATCGTGCATTGTGTAATAAAGTATCAAAAATGGAAAGGAACTCATCATTGCAGTTTGTCAGATTCAATCATTCACTATGTTCAGAATCTCCGAATGGAGCAAATTGGACATTTAAAATTGTTCTATTGATATTTTTCCTATGTCAACAATTTTCCTAGTTGATCATTTAAAAATGACAGTAAATTGATTATTTTGTTTTATGTAAAAAAGGTGTTGCAAATGGAAAGAAAATCATTTCAGTACAGTTATTTCGTTTACATTTTGGCATTTTGAAAGTGTGACTCTGAACTTCCATGGCCTTGGAGACCTTTCCATATCACAATTTCTGAATATCAATGATACTTTTATTTTTTTATAAAAAAACTGATGGTCATTATGCTGTTTGCATAAAAGTTGAAGAAAACCCTATTTTGGACACTGCTGCCAGGATAGCAATTAAGGGAAAACCATGTTACTTATGATAGTCAACATGAAAAGTTTCATAAGACTGAAGTGCAGCTTGTGTTGGAAAACCAGTGCGATTGTTTTTTGTTTTGGAAGCAATGCAGTTCTATAGAGTGCTATATGGTGCAATAAATGTATATGGATAGCAGGCAGTATGTTAATTCAAAGTTATAAAGTAATTTGCTTAATTAATTTTCAAGTTATTTCAGGGTTATAAAGTAATTTGCTTAATTTTCAAGTGGCCATTAAATGAGATTACATAAAACACACACGTTGAGATTTCATTGTAAAATCCCATAGGTTTAGCTCTCTTAACTGTGTCACATAATTAGGAATTGATGATTATTATGCAGGTAAATGTTATTTAATATTGAATTAATAATTTTACAAAAGAAAAATTTTGTGTAACGCTTAAATTAATGCTAAAGATGAATAACAGTGTGTTGTTATTCTTATCATGTTAGATTAAAAGTTTGAATAGCAGCTTTATTGGAATTTTTTGTTATGTTTTATTTTACATTTTCTTTTAATTATTTTTCAAACACTAGCATCTTCAAGATGTCACTTTCAACTATCATTCACCAGAAGCGCTGTGCATTTTGTTTTTCCACATTAGCAGTTGTGTTGGTTTTTTATGTCTTTAAACATTGTGTAATATTATTTTATGCACTGTCATCATTTTTCACATATTGGGATTTTCATTATGTGAATATGAACTCTCACATATGGTCCTGAAACTGTAATCTTATTGACCATGTTATTCTGTTGTGCATTTTGTGAATTTTTTATCTTTCACATACTGGCATTTTCATTGTGGGACTTATAACTCCAAAGGGCACGTAACAGTTCTGACTGTTCACTTTTATTGATACTACCTGTTGTGCAATATTTGCAACTTGATTTTCAGTTAAAGGGATAATAACTGTTCTTTTTGGCAAATAATTTTTCTTCTAAAACATTTTTTTTTTTTTGGTTATAATCTCTTAAGAAATTACTACAAAGTATAGCCATCTATGGAGGTCACATGGTCTGATGACAAGTTCAGATATCAGAATAATAGCTATGACTGCCCTTTTTGTGATAAAACAAAATATATTTCTGTGAGTTGTTTACACTGTTTAAAATCAAGTTGGATGATTCATATCATGGTAATGCAGCTAGACTGAATGGCAGCTTTAGTGGAATATTTTTGTAATTTTTTTTTCAATTTTTAATTTTTCAAACTGGCATTTTCAAGATGTGACTTATCACTCCCATCTACCAGGAGCCCTGTACTGTTACTTTGTAACATTTTCTGTATATTTTTTTAACAAGAATGATTCTTAGGATTGACATACAGCCCAAATTAGAAAAACAGCTCTATTAAATTATATGTGTCCGCCTCCAGAGTGGGAGGATGTGGGTTCAAAACCCGTCCGGGACATACCAGTCTTCCCGCTTGGCACTCAGCACTAAGGGGTTGAAGCAGGGGCCTGGTCAGGCAGTGCAGAAATGATATGTTAGCTCTGAGGCGTAATATATGGCAGCCGAGCTGTATCCTCCCCAGGAAGGTGAGAGAATCTACTGAGTACACTAGTGCAAAAATGACCAGGCTTCTATGACTTAAATAAAAAAATTTCATTTAAATAAATAAATAAATTACATATTTGTATAACTTCAACCTTCAGGTTGCGATTTTCCAATAAAGATTATTATTATTGTTATTATTATTTATTGCATCAGAATTGACAGTATCCTATTTTTTGCATCTTTATTTTTTTGTCTGTACATTTGACAGCTTTGCTGCCTTGTTTAAAAGAAATTATTCTACAAAACTTAGAGAAGCTTATAAGCTTGACTTTATTTGCCAGTTGATACGTATTCAAGATGGCCGTCAATTTGTTATATGAATAGCGAGAGCCATACATTCAAATAAAAAATCTAATGCTTCACTCCATTGTTCATCATTGCATATTTATGTTGATATCCATGCAAAGTGCGATCATTTATTTCAAGTTATTTTAATAAAAATGGCCTCCAAAACATAATGGAAGGGCAAAGAAACAACTGTAAAAGTACAAGGCTTTTAACTGAAATAGACTTTAACTGGAACAAATATAAATACATATATAAAGTAAAAAACGATATACCTGCTTTCAAGACATAGCACACAATAAAACATTTTAAATTATACGAAAAATGAAAACCAGTATGTCCGTCAATGCTACTCTATGATCAAACCAAACATTGATTGCAGATATCTCAGTCCTGACAACTAGTTTTTAATTCTAAATCAAAAATTACATTGTGGATGATTTAATGAAAGGCATTATCATTCTGGTATGTGTAAACTAAATCATTTTGAAATAAAAAAGTTTTTCTTCAGGTTGGATTATTCTTTTCCTTTTTTTTTTAACTTTTAAAATATTTAAACACCTATGGGTAAAGGCATTTTTGATGTTTAATAATGAATTTTATTATAAATAATCAAGATCCAAGCGGGGGTATACAAACCCAGCAGTTAGGGCCCATGAGGTCAGCTATTCTTGACAATGTGACATAGTTCGGGGATATATGAGGGCTACCCATTGACATCATGTATTTGAAATGTTGTTTTTGCCAATATATACTTACAGATAATGGAAACTTTCAGATAGGAATGTGTGCATTGTTCTACTTGTAGGGTAGATGTAATTATTCATTGTGGATTTATTGATGACTTAGTGCTCGGGTAGTTAAGATAAAATAATAAGTTGTCATGTTGCCATGATTCATTGCACATGGGAAAGCTTTTATTTGTTTTTGCAAAAATGGACCAAATACACATTGAGCAATACTCAGTGGGCATCTGCACATTTTGTTGATTGGTTTTGGAGGCCTATAAAGGCCCAAAAAAGGCCACCCATGTTGTTAGTCTAGTGAACGGAATCATGTCATGTCTATCATGTGAACAACATACATCTCTGGGCACTGGGTGTGAGGGTAGACTGATTTGAGCTATAATGTATGGGCTGTTCCCACCCCACAATCAGGAACCTGGTTGAATGCCACAACATGCCAGGCTCTGTTAGCGATATACCGCAGCCAGGGCGAGAGAGTGTCAACTCCAGACCAGGATTGCTACATCAGGTTGCATCAGCTGCGGGACCAATTTCGCCATGCCAGTCGTACAGCACAAGAAGCACCCGGCAGGAACAACAACCAGAGCAGCAGCCCCACTGTGTGTCACCGCTTGCTGGCAGTCAACCAATGGTGGTCGTTGATGGCAACATACCAGTAACTGCTCATCACTACATAGATCAGATTCCTCACATGACCTCGTTCATGCAGCAGAAAACTGATGTGATCGTTTCCCAACAGGACAAGACCCGTTCACATTCGGNGGAAAAAAAAGTTGTTGAAGAATTGATAAACTGGCATGATAAGTTTACACTAAACATTGCACAAAACATGCCCAGTACTAGTGCCATCTATGAGCAGTTTGCTCAATTAAAGTTAAAGTAATTGTTTGATAAATGAAAGTATTTTAAGTCAATTTCAAGTTTTATGTCACACCATAATATTCCGTCAATCTTGAGAAACAAGTATAATATCTTGTTTACCCTGAAAGTCAAATAATACAAAAGAAACTTGTCATCTTCACAGTGAACTGATTAAAAGCAAGATTCCTCTTCAGTTCTGCTATACTTCATGTGGCTACTGTAGCTCTCAGCCCTAAGCAAAAAGTGAAAATTTCAATATATATATATTTTTTTAATTAAAATCCTTGACACCACATATGATATTAGAAGTATGAAAGCCATAAATAAGCATTGGACTGATACTTTCAAGTGAATCTAATTCACACAGACATAGCAAGAAAAATGGAAGAATCTGTTGAAATCTCACTTGGACTTTCCATATTTTTGTTTAACGTTTAAACGGACAGATATTAAAATCTGTACAGTCATTAAATTTCTCAGATATCTGAAATGATATGTGCCCAATTAAGTTGTTGATTGATTTGCTGCAATGTTTTCAGTTTAAACAGAGTGATTTTGGGCCGTTGTGTATTATAGTGATTATTATCATTATAGCTGGCTTGCGTGACCCATGCATGCTGCTTTGAATGCTAAACCAGGGCTTTTTCTCTCTCTTTCATTTACGCATATCAGCTCGGGATCGCAATCGGTCTGGATCCTACTCCTCTTCCATTAAATCTCCTGATCGCAGTCGACCCAGGTCGCGTATTGGAGTCTCCCAGTCACAGCGTAAGTCTGGCTTTTTTTCTTGTCAACTTCGTTTTTTCTTTTACCTTGTAATTTGTGAGGTTGCTTTTTGAACTTGTGTGATAAAGGCTAAGTATCGGACTACAGGGTTTTGTTCAACTGGAGTAAAATAGATTACACATTTAAATTTTCAAATTTCTTCCTGATTTGATGACATTAGGTAGTCTTTTTAATTTAATTGGATTTCATTTGTAATCTTCTTACATTTTAAATTTTAATACAATCTACTTGACTGTATTGCACTAAATGACAGAAAAAAAAGAAAAGATTACAATAAAGTTGTTGTGATACTTGGCTTTTTAAAATTCCCCTATGGCTTTTGATGTTGTGAGATCTTTGCTGTGTGCTTTTAATGCCACAGAAATGTGTTGCGTTCACAATTTGTGCCATTTTGCACTTGGATGTTACATTGTGATTTTGAATTTCAGGATGAAAAAAACATATGAGATATTGTTGGTACTGTGTTGCTTTTTGCTAACATGTACTATTTCACCATAAGAAAAAAAAATGGAATTAATGTAGTGGTTTGAATTTGGTGGATTTTGTCTTTTCATTTTGATGATTTTTTAAAAATTGTTTTTAGACTTTTATATTATTTGTAACAAAAAAAATTGAAATATTTGCCTTGAAGTATGCTAAGATAAATACATGTCAGGACATGGCATTTGGGCATTTCCCTGAAGTTGTCAATGTGCTTTGATGTATATACACAGTGAAACCAAAATATGCATGTTTTCTTCCCCTTTGAGAAGATTGTTTTTATTTGTTCTGAAATATTGATGAAATTGAGGGAAAAAAAACTATGCACATGGATATAACTGTCTTTTGTAAAAATTCAACAATTTTCCACCCCGTAGTTAACGTTTGATCCTTTCCTTATTTGTAATAGTTTCTCCAGGCAGTGCTTAAAATTTGTACAGAACTCATTTAGATATCAAAGAAACCTGTTTCTAGGCATATTACCACAGTTAGAATAATCTAGATTACAGTTGCAGTTAATTCAAAATAAACCATTTTCCATCTTCACTGGTATACTTGAGAACTACTTTATTCGCCGTCATGTTTTTGTAGCCGAGGTGCTGTAAAGGCTAAGATTAAAAACCAAAGTGAATTTAAACCTGACCATGACCTCGACCTTGATACCATGCTTGGTTTGTTACCATAGATTTTTGATCACCAGTATCTTGAGCCTGACATACTATGTCTGCCTGCTTCTTCATTTTCAAACTCCATGATGTACCACTTCATTGGGCTGTGACATTCAGCAGCAAGTCTGATCAAAGTTTACCTCGCAAATCTAAAAAAAAAAATGTCCGGTTATCTATTTAAGATATTTCAGCTTTGTAGAAGGCCATTCACACCATTGTAATCTTCATGGTAAACTTCAATGCAGCTCTTCTGTAGTTCAGATTTGATAAGTGAGGGTGTGTGGAAATTTGAAAATGAAAAAGCCAGCCTTCATCAGCAGTGAAACTCCAGACTAGTCAAAGTTCCTAGTGATAATTTGATAAATCTCAAACATAACCAGTAAATTTGATTTTTGAATGATATCTTTGTTAACAGCCAGCAGCCGTTCGGGTTCCCCGTCATCCCGCCTCAGTTATCTCACTCACATCCCATCCAGAGTGGACAGTAATGCGTCCGGGGGCACCAGCAAACCGCGTCGCTCTGGAATCCCTCGCAGTCAGGGCGCCAGCAGAGAGGCCAGCCCATCTAGAATCTCATATGGTAGGTTATGGTCTCATTGAGAGATTATACAGCATTTTAAGTGTGTCACTGGAAAGTTGTGTGATTTCTTTTGGTAAATGGTTTTGCTTAGAAAAAGATCAGTTGTCACTAAGTTAAGGATGTTTTGTTTGTAACATTTGTTTGCAAAGGATATTTAAAGAATATGCTGTGGCTCTAGTCTTTATACAGTTTTTAGTAGATTATTTCATCATAAGCTTCCTGTTTTGTAAAAACCATGACTTTATGATCTTTCATTTTCTCGAAACTACAATTATCTAATATGGATCACATTGTAAAATAGATAAAATGAGCATTTGTGCATATAACACCACTGTAATTCTGGGTAAAGAATATTTTTGTGTTTTGAATCACCCTATATTTCCACATAAAAAGGGTGTATATATATTATTACATCACCCTGTATTTTCAGGTCGTGACAGGAGGTTAAGTGGCAGTAGACATGCCCCTCAGCGCGTCCCCACCAAGCAAGCCATGGGACAACACGTCTCGGGGCAGGACATTGAACAGGCACTAGAGGAAGCTCTTCTCAAGGGCAACGCTCTGCGAAAGAGATACGACCTCTACGACTCTGATGATGCTGGAAGTGAGACCTCTAGTGTGTGTTCAGAAAGGTCGTACGGATCTTCGTACGGAAGGACGTCAGAGGTAGGAAAATGCAGTATGGTTAATCATTATTGGTAAAGGACATTGTAATTTTAAGATATTCTCTAGAATTGGCCCTCTCATCTAACATCTAAGAAATCATGAAATGACCTGAAAGCTTATTTAGTCATTTTAAGTAAATATTTTATTGAATTTTAAATAAAAGGAAAATGATTGAAGTTAAAAAAAAAAAAGAAAATGAAAAATATTCAACCTATTTTGCATGAATCGTATCTATGATGCTTAAATTATGTATAAGTGGTTGTTACTTATTTGAAAATGTGTCGCAAGGTACTTTTAAACAGAAACAGATTGCAGTCTTTGAGATTGGTTTGATTTGAGTGATAATTACTGTTCAATGTCTGAATGTCAGCTATAGATCGGAGCTTTAAGTAGCTTTATGTTTAATGTTGCATGGAAAAAAGAAGTGATAGAATTGGTTCCAAGATGTGGAAAAATGTGAGATATTTTGACAGATTCTGAAATGAATGTGTAAAGAAATTGTGCAAAGCTTGAGTATGAACAGAGAGCTGCAATAATTGAAAAATTGGTATATGGGTATACGTGAGTACTGGCAACCCCTCTGTGCTATGTATTTGACAAGTTATTGAGCCACATCAGCATAAGTCTGTTTTTCTTTGCTTGAGAAATAGCCATTTTTCAAATATACCAAGATTATCTGTCTTATGGAAAAAATTGTATGGGAGTGTTTTTGGTCCTTAGTTTATGTGCAATTGTGTAGCCATAGGTTGGTTTTAATGTTGAATTAATTGATATTTGTGTAGACTTCTTAATTAACTGTTTTTTCTTTTGGCTTGAAACTTACAGAACTAATGAATATTCATAATACGCAGGTCAAGTTCGAAAATCAGCATGATCGGGCCATTATTTTATAAGTTATGCTGTTTTTTCACATTTCCTCAGATTCAATTCTTAGGCATGTTAACAGTCTCATTATTTAACTAATAAGATTCGTAAAAGTGTTTGTTTGACATTTCCTGCATCTTTACAACATTGTTAGTTGATTATGTAAAAATGATGGTAAACTTGTTATCATGTATTGTATAATAGAGTTTCAAAAATGGAAATAAACTCATATCATTGCAGTTTGTCAGATTCATTCATTCACTATGTTCAGAAACTCAGAATGGAGGAAATTGGACATTAAACACTGTTCTATTAATATTTTTCCCATCTCATCAATTTTCTTAGTTGATCATATATAAATGGCAGTAAATTGTTAATTTTGTTATATGTTAAAAAATTGTTAAAAATGGAAAAAAACACATTTCAGGACAGTGCTGTCTTGTCTACATTTTGGCATTTTCAAGGTGTGACTTTGAAGTTCCTTGGGCCTGAAGACCTTTGCTAGGAACATTTTCTGAATATCCATGATACTAATATTTTATTATTAAAAATTGATGGTAATTATCCTGTTAAACATTATGTAATATTGCATCAAAATTTGAAGACACCCCTATTTTGGACACTGCTCCCATGATGACCATTTAAGGAAAACCATGTCACTTACTGTTCTCAAACTTACAGGAAGAAACATGGGACTTAAATAAAGCTTCAGTGGGCAATGCAGTCTCTTTGGTAAATTTTTTTGGCAGTTAATCAGTTTTTTGTGAAAATTTAATTTTTCACATATTGGCATTTTCAAGGTGTGACTTTGAAGTTCCATGGGCTTGAAGACCCATGCTAGTCACATTTTCTGAAAATCCATGATACGTATATTATTAAAAAATTGACGGTCATTATGCTGTTAACCATTATGTAATATGGCATCAGAATAGAAGAAAACACAATTTTGGGTGCTGCTGCCATGATGACCATTATGGGAAAACCATGTTACTTATGATTGCCAAACTTTCATTATACGCAGGTCAAGTTCGAAAATCAGCATGATCGGGTCACTTATAGGGAATTTATGCTGTTTTTTCACTTTTTTCAGCATATATGCAGCACCGATAACACGATAAGTGGAAAACCGTTTTACCTTTTGGCTTGAAACTTACAGAACTGATGAATACTCATAATCTGCAGGTCAAGTTCGAAAATCAGCATGATCGGGCCATTTTTAGGGCAGTTATGCTGTTTTTCACTTTTTTCAGCATATATGCAGCAGCAATAACACGATAGGTGGAAAACCATTTTACCTTTTGGCTTGAAACTTACAAAACTGATGAATATTCATAATACGCAGGTCAAGTTTGAAAATCAGCATGATCGAGCAATTTTTATGGAAGTTATCCTGTTTTTTTTTCAATTTTTTCAGCATTTTTATAACACCAATAACATGATAAGTGTAAAAATGTTTTTCCTTTTGGATTGAAACTAACAGAACTGATGAATATTCATAATACGCAGGTCAAGTTCGAAAATTGGCTTGATTGGACTATTTTTACAAAAGTTATGCTGATTTTTCCTTTATTCAGCATACATGCAACACTGATAACGCATTTTAAGGAAAACCAATCACCTTTTGTCTTGCAACTCAAAGGAGTGATCAATCTGACCAGTATACAGATCAAGTTTGAAAATAAGCTTGATCAGTTAAGTTTTGATGAAGTTATTAGCCTTTTTGTATATAAGTGGTTTTTCTTCAGATTTCTTTCTTAGGCATGTTAACAGTCTCATTATTGAACTAATTAGATATGTAAAAGTTTTGTTTTGACATTTTTTGCTTCTTAACAATATTTTTGATTATATAAAAATGACGGTAAACCTATTATCATGCATTGTGTAATAAAGTATCAAAAATGGAAAGGAACTCATCATTGCAGTTCGTCAGATTCAATCATTCACTACGTTCAGAATCTCCGAATGGAGCAAATTTGACATTTAAAATTGTTCTATTGATATTTTTCCTATGTCAACAATTTTCCTAGTTGATCATTTAAAAATGACAGTAAATTGATTATTTTGTTTTATGTAAAAAAGGTGTTGCAAATGGAAAGAAAATCATTTCAGTACAGTTATTTCGTTTACATTTTGGCATTTTGGAAGGGCAAAGAAACAACTGTAAAACTACAAGGCTTTTAACTGAAATAGACTTTAACTGGAACAAATATAAATACATATATAAAGTAAAAAACGATATACCTGCTTTCAAGACATAGCACACAATAAAACATTTTAAATTATACGAAAAATGAAAACCAGTATGTCTGTCAATGCTACTCTATGATCAAACCAAACATTGATTGCAGATATCTCAGTCCTGACAACTAGTTTTTAATTCTAAATCAAAAATTACATTGTGGATGATTTAATGAAAGGCATTATCATTCTGGTATGTGTAAACTAAATCATTTTGAAATAAAAAAGGTGTCAAATCGTTTTTCTTCAGGTTGGATTATTCTTTTCCTTTTTTTTTTTAACTTTTAAAATATTTAAACACCTATGGGTAAAGGCATTTTTGATGTTTAATAATGAATTTTATTATAAATAATCGAGATCCAAGCAGGGGTATACAAACCCAGCAGTTAGGGCCCATGAGGTCAGCTATTCTTGACAATGTGACATAGTTCGGGGATATATGAGGGCTACCCATTGACATCATGTATTTGAAATGTTGTTTTTGCCAATATATACTTACAGATAATGGAAACTTTCAGATAGGAATGTATGCATTGTTCTACTTGTAGGGTAGATGTAATTATTCATTGTGGATTTATTGATGACTTAGTGCTCGGGTAGTTAAGATAAAATAATAAGTTGTCATGTTGCCATGATTCATTGCACATGGGAAAGCTTTTATTTTTTTTTGCAAAAATGGACCAAATACACATTGAGCAATACTCAGTGGGCATCTGCACATTTTGTTGATTGGTTTTGGAGGCCTATAAAGGCCCAAAAAAGGCCACCCATGTTGTTAGTCTAGTGAACGGAATCATGCCATGTCTATCATGTGAACAACGTACATCTCTGGGCACTGGGTGTGAGGGTAGACTGATTTGAGCTATAATGTATGGGCTGTTCCCACCCCACAATCAGGAACCTGGTTGAATGCCACAACATGCCAGGCTCTGTTAGCGATATACCGCAGCCAGGGCGAGAGAGTGTCAACTCCAGACCAGGATTGCTACATCAGGTTGCATCAGCTGCGGGACCAATTTCGCCATGCCAGTCGTACAGCACAAGAAGCACCCGGCAGGAACAACAACCAGAGCAGCAGCCCCACTGTGTCACCGCTTGCTGGCAGTCAACCGATGGTGGTTGTTGATGGCAACATACCAGTAACTGCTCATCACTACATAGATCAGATTCCTCACATGACCTCGTTCATGCAGCAGAAAACTGATGTGATCGTTTCCCAACAGGACAAGACCCGTTCACATTCAGCACAAATGATCCAAGTGTATCTGGAGTCCCAAGGGTGGATGTCCTACCCTGGCCTGTCTATTCTCTGGGTATGATATATCTTGGCCATCCGTTGGCCAAGGCAGCAGCTGATCCAGGCACTACAAGGCTGGCATAGGATTCCGCACGACACCATCCCATCCACATTTATTGCCCGAGCATGCACCAACAGATCGGCGTCTCCATCGAAGCAAGCAGAGATCGTACCGGCTATTGACCGTTGTACCTTTGTGTTGGGCTGGTGCCATTTTTGTTTTGAAACTATTCGTGAAACTTAAGATTTTTGGTTCTGTATATCAATGTCCTAAACAAATGATTCATATGAAAATAATCCAGTTTAATAACAATTATTTTGAAAAATATGGCCTCAAAGATTTTAATGGCGGTCAGTATATAACCAAAAGATTGTAAGATGTTTTGTTTAAAATCTAAAGTGAAAAAAGTGCAGTAATAAGAAAAACTAGAAATGCTGTTATATACTGATGAAATATTCTACATGTGCCAAGCTCAATAAAAAGAATGGGAAGTTTTAAAGCTAAATCTTATGTACATGCTAAAAGATTTGATAAAGCTAAAAAATCAAAATATTAAGGTATGATCAATATAAAAACAAAAACGAAAAAAAATAAAAAATAATAAGGTTAATATTTTGACAAAACTAAAATTAAATTACATATGGTTTTAATAAAACTAAATATTCAAAAAACAAACTGATTCTGCAGCTTTTATTATTTTCTGCCTTATGTTTTTATGACGGCCATTTTGATTTTTTGCTAAGTGGAACGCGATTAAGCATATTCATTAGTACTGTTGTGCTCTCCTGATAGGATACACGTTAAATAAAAACTGTCAATAAAGTTTACCTGGCGACTTCTGGTCGTTTTTCTATTTTTCCTCATAAATTGACGGCCATACTGAAAAATGCTCAAGGTCTCGGAAATAACAACCAATGCTTCTCTCGGCCTGAAGAATGCATTTCAGCAAAAATTTGAGTTTTTTTTCCCCCACTTTTGGCACTTCATTAGTAATAAGTTCAGTCTGATGAAGGCCTACATCCAGGTTGGCTGCAAGCTAACAGTATGAAAGTATTTTGGCTTGTGTTTAATGGTTTTCATTTATGAAGAAAAGGTAAAGCAGTTTTCATTTTATTTGTATAATGGTGGATAAAATAAAATGAAAAAAAAAAGCGAAAAAACAGCTTAACTTTTAGAAAAATGGTCCAAGCAGGCTGATTTTCGAACTTGACCTGTATTTTATGAATTTTCATCAGTTCTGAAGTTTGAAGACAAAAAGTAAAATGGTTTTCATTTTATTTGTATAACAATGAAAGTGCACAGCGCTGACGCTGCCAAACACAGGCAACAACTATATGAACAGATACATCTGTGTACATAAAAAGGGTGAAAAATGAAATTATTCTAAACTTCTGAAGGCATAAGTGCAAAAAAAAAAAAAAAAAAACAGTTCAAGTAACTTTTAAAATTTATTAGCAAATAACAGGTAACTTTTTTTCACAGCACCATAAATAGTTGCAATAAAAGTTTTGTAAACCCATCTCTTAAAGACTTTTCAGCAGCTGTATACATAAAAAGTTAAATATATAAGATATAGTTCTGTTAAATATGGCTTATTGCTATTCAGATACATTAACATTTATATTTTTAAAACACGAACTTGTCTCCATTTCTTACGACTGCTAATTTTTCTAAATTTAATGTTACAATACAGATGTTTGTTATAGTAAAATGTTTCAAAGGATATTACCCTCTAGCAGCATTTTTATAACTAGATTGTAGAGAATGATATTCTCTAGGCAGTTTCTTAACCTTACATATGTTATTAATACTAAAAAGGTTATTCAATACTTCCATGATATTTAAAATGATTTATCTTTCTAAAATAAAGTGGTTACTCTCTCCTTAACTTGTGGACAAGTGCATAATGCATAAAAGAGGAACATTTTCATGTTAGAAATTTAAATACCATTAATTGATTTCTATAACATTTGCAATTAATTTTTTTCATCGATACAAATTTAACACTTCACTGTTAACAACCTGTTTATATTGGTGGTCTGAAATGGTGCCTGAGACCCATATATGGTCTTAACAATTCTTCTAGCGATGTGTACACTTCTCTCCCTCTGTCGGCAGTTGTGTATGAAGGAAGCAATGTAAAAATGATACTGAGAAGTGCCATGAATAAAACCAGTCCTGTCACTGCCATCCTAAAAGTCTTAAAAGAGGACTCCTGATGTGGCCAACGATTCCACATGTTCTCTACTACCGTATCTTTTACAAAGGATACTCCTCTTAATGTACTGAAGCTTGAAAAAAAAAAAAAAAAGCAAATCAAAGATGTCACATCCCAAAATTGTTTTACATAGTCTAAGATTTTTTGGTAAGAATTTGTGCAATCTGGTACTGATATTTAACTCTCGTTTTCTTTTTTAAAAAAGTTGTTACAAGGTATATCAAATATCAGACTATATAACACAAAACATCTGCACCTTTCTTATGCAAGCTCTTTAAGCAAATTGAAATTACTGCCTCAAATTACAAAATTTAACAATGGGCCAACTTTTTTAAATTTTTTATTTGGATCAAAGGAATGCTATCAAAGGACCCTTAATAAATAACAACTTTGTCTTACCCAATGTTGCGGAACGGTAATTGTCTTAACTTGAAAACTGCATGTTTTGCATACATCTTTAAAGCCCCACTGTTCTTGGGTTCTGGTACAGCCATACCTATTTGTCCTTCCTGTAACCTAAATGAGCCAAATGTTTGGTTCAGTAAAATACAAAGACACAAATATATAGTATAATCAACCAGCTCCTATGATGGCTAGTAAGATCCATCATATTATTCATGTTTGATATGCCTTAACTACCTTCCTCCTTAACACAACCCATATTTCCAGGAGAAATTTCAAATAAAGTCCATTTGCCTTTTATAGGTCAAGTAGACTCCAAGAAAATTGTTTTTACTCAAAGCTGTGCACCTGTCTATGGGGAACTCCCCTTTAAAAGGCTGCATAAATACAGTATGTCCACAAAAACAAAAGTTAAAAAATCAACTGACAATTGACACATTTGGAGTCAATCCAATAAAAATAACTTCCACAAAAAGTTAATTCTCACAAATAAGTAAGCCTTATAATTGGTTAGACATATTTTTAAAAACATTTGAATATATCATGGACATGGATCAAAATATGTCCATGGTCTATTTTAATTCTTATAAGTTATGATAAAATGCAACATACTCTTCGGGTTCCTCTTCCCTTTCAACATTATCTTCAGGTTCTTCCAGCTCCTGGGTGTGACTAGGACTTTCAGAGCTATTTGGAACATCATCATTTGTTTCTCTACAAAGACAATACAACTTTCATTTACACAGTATTAAACCAAGTAAATTGTTATACAATTTCACAGATATACTTTCTGCATTAACTTGTTATGGTCTTTAAAACTGCAACATCAAATGATAAATCACAAGCATGCCATTCAGATACACACTTTAACTGTTCTTCTTTATTCCCTTGCTGCCCACAATCACTGCTACCAACTGTGCCCTCCAACATGTGTCTCTCCAAGGAAGCTCTCCTCAATATCCCTGTTACTGCATTTTTCACTGTAGCATTTGCCACCAGGTTCTGGAAGCGTAGGCGAGCATCCTGAAAATTAATACAGATGTCTTTCTATTTCGTTTTAATCAGCGAGATCAACTGATCTGCCAAAAGAACAAAATATTCAACAATGCTATAAATTATTGTTTTTCTTTTTATCAAGAGCTTATAAAATATGTGGGTATTACCTCCAATATTTCTGTGACTGTCAGTCACCATCAACAGGGAGTAAATGACTAGGGTCATTTCACCTGGAATGAAAATCCAGGTCAATTGCCCCTAATCACTGGCCTTGTGTTGTAACTGTTACATTCCCCCCCCCCCTCCCGGGTCGTACAGTGACAGTGCCGGTGACGACACGGACAGACACACCAATCAGAATATATACAGACTCTTAGAGTGTCTGTATATAAAAAGTTAAGGCTGCTGTCCTCAGGATAACAATTTTATCCAATGGATAGTATTATCCAGTGTTGATGAAACTGGGCCCTGATGGTTAAGTTATGTAAATAATTGGCATTATTCCTTAAAGATACTTTTAGGCTAACAGCAAAATTGTTTATTTGTAATAATTGTTCATCAGGAATAAAAACTTATATATATTTAAACTTGCTTGTGAAAACTGTACATGAAGAGATTTGTTTGAATAAGATAAATACCCCATTCACACTACAGTTGCAAAAATGCGCATTTCTATAAAGTGATTCGGTATTGCGTTCACACACGCGAAGCGAAACCGAATCACACCTTGAAAATTTCAGGTTTAACTTCCTGTATTGATCACTCGCGCATGCACCGCACAGGAAATCTTAAAATACCAACAAAATTTGTGACGACAAATGCAACTCAAAAGACATTCCAGCATTCTTGAGAAGTATAAGATGGCAAAATAAGTTTGTTTCCTCATGTTGTAGTGAGTGGTGACCTCCAAATACGTTTGGTGCAATCGTTAAAGTAATTAACTTATCTGCACACATGCGCAGTAAGATCTGTACAGGTGTCGATTCTGGTAAGTTATTCAAATCGTGCTTAGAAATCCACCTCGCTTGCAGGATTTTGAAAATTCGCATTACAGAAATCCCCTTGCGTTCACACTACTGCATTTATTTGAATTGTGACCTAATTCACAACTTATCCGGATAACTGAGCGTAGTGTGAATGGGGTAAAAGTGCCTTCAAGCATATCTATAACTGCCATTGAGCAAAGAACATTCAGCACTTTCAATTCTATAACAAATGAAAAATAACGAATGTTCTTTGAAAAAAATCACTGAAGAATAAATTGGGGCAAGCAACAAACAAAAAAAAATTAAATACTTCTGTCTTTGTTTAAAACAAACAAACAAACAAACAAAAAAGCACCTAAGAGAATGCTTAACCCAGAATTATAAAACATGAGACATCCTATAAAACAAAATAAAAAACGCACATGTAATTGTATTTTTTGAAATGCAGCAAAAAGGTTTCTAGGCTATATATCTGGTCGACTTGAAAGTCATTCTTCACATTCCACTTTCTATCAAACTGAAATTGCATCCTTGCTTCATTTTCTTTAGTAACAGAGATGTTTGGAAACTAAAATGCATCACTTACAAAGTTCACACCAGCCTGATTCTATAACAATTTACTTTTTTAATGTAAATACAGTAGGAGCTGCCTTTACATAACAGACAATCTATCAAGATGTCAATCTCTCAAACTAGTGTAATAAAGATAGCTGTATTACTCGACGTTGAAATGGCTGTAGACAACTGATCATATTTCTTCAAGGCTTTTATTTTTTCGATAATTTATGTGTACTGTGTTTCAGTAAAATGTGTAGAAATAAGTTACACCTGCTGGCCCTTCTCGTTGTACGATGTTTTTTTTTTTTTTTGCTTTTTTGATATTTTTAGGAAGTAAATACATTACTTTTCTTAAGTACATCAAAAACGTGTATTCTTTCTACCTTACTCATAAAAATGTGCATATGACAAGGACCAATTTTTTGTCATTATTACTTTTACTACAGTGTGAAAAAGGTAGGTTTATTTTACTTTTGCAATTTACTTGCTAGTCTGAATTGGGATACTGTGGTGTTTTGTCACAAAGAAATGCAACATTTTGAACTTTGATGATATAAACATCCTTGGATGGGGGGANAATAACTTCCACAAAAAGTTAATTCTCACAAATAAGTAAGCCTTATAATTGGTTAGACATCTTTTTAAAAACATTTGAATATATCATGGACATGGATCAAAATATGTCCATGCTCTATTTTAATTCTTATAAGTTATGATAAAATGCAACATACTCTTCAGGTTCCTCTTCCCTTTCAACATTATCTTCAGGTTCTTCCAGCTCCTGGGTGTGACTAGGACTTTCAGAGCTATTTGTAACATCATCATTTGTTTCTCTACAAAGACAATACAACTTTCATTTACACAGTATTAAACCAAGTAAATTGTTATACAATTTCACAGATATACTTTCTGCATTAACTTGTTATGGTCTTTAAAACTGCAACATCAAATGATAAATCACAAGCATGCCATTCAGATACACACTTTAACTGTTCTTCTTTGTTCCCTTGCTGCCCACAATCACTGCTTCCAACTGTGCCCTCCAACATGTGTCTCTCCAAGGAAGCTCTCCTCAATATCCCTGTTACTGCATTTTTCACTGTAGCATTTGCCACCAGGTTCTGGAAGCGTAGGCGAGCATCCTGAAAATTAATACAGATGTCTTTCTATTTCTTTTTAATCAGCGAGATCAACTGATCTGCCAAAAGAACAAAATATTCAACAATGCTATAAATTATTGTTTTTCTTTTTATCAAGAGCTTATAAAATATGTGGGTATTACCTCCAATATTTCTGTGACTGTCAGTCACCATCAACAGGGAGTAAATGACTAGGGTCATTTCACCTGGAATGAAAATCCAGGTCAATTGCCCCTAATCACTGGCCTTGTGTTGTAACTGTTACATCTCCCCCCCCCCTGGGTCGGACAGTGACAGTGCCGGTGACGACACGGACAGACACACCAATCAGAATATATACAGACTCTTAGAGTGTCTGTATATAAAAAGTTAAGGCTGCTGTCCTCAGGATAACTTTTCGGAGGATAACAATTTTATCCAATGGATAGTATTATCCAGTGTTGATGAAACTGGGCCCTGATGGTTAAGTTACGTAAATAATTGGCATTATATTCCTTAAAGATACTTTTAGGCTAACAGCAAAATTGTTTATTTGTAATAATTGATCATCAGGAATAAAAACTTATATATATTTAAACTTGCTTGTGAAAACTGTACATGAGGAGATTTGTTTGAATAAGATAAATACCCCATTCACACTATAGTTGCAAAAATGTGCATTTCTATAAAGTGATTCGGTATTGCGTTCACACATGCGAAGCTAAACCGAATCACACCTTGAAAATTTCAGGTTTAACTTCCTGTATTGATCACTCGCGCATGTGCCGCACAGGAAATCTTAAAATACCAACAAAATTTGTGACGACAAATGCAACTCAAAAGACATTCCAGCATTCTTGAGAAGTATAAGATGGCAAAATAAGTTTGTTTCCTCATGTTGTAGTGAGTGGTGACCGCCAAATACGTTTGGTGCAATCGCTAAAGTAATTAACTTATCTGCACACATGCGCAGTAAGATCTGTACAGGTGTCGATTCCGGTAAGTTATTCAAATCGTGCTTAGAAATCCACCTCGCTTGCATTTATTTGAATTGTGACCTAATTCACAACTTATCCGGATAACTGAGCGTAATGTGAATGGGGTAAAAGTGCCTTCAAGCATATCTATAACTGCNCATCTCCCCCCCCCCTGGGTCGGACAGTGACAGTGCCGGTGACGACACGGACAGACACACCAATCAGAATATATACAGACTCTTAGAGTGTCTGTATATAAAAAGTTAAGGCTGCTGTCCTCAGGATAACTTTTCGGAGGATAACAATTTTATCCAATGGATAGTATTATCCAGTGTTGATGAAACTGGGCCCTGATGGTTAAGTTACGTAAATAATTGGCATTATATTCCTTAAAGATACTTTTAGGCTAACAGCAAAATTGTTTATTTGTAATAATTGATCATCAGGAATAAAAACTTATATATATTTAAACTTGCTTGTGAAAACTGTACATGAGGAGATTTGTTTGAATAAGATAAATACCCCATTCACACTATAGTTGCAAAAATGTGCATTTCTATAAAGTGATTCGGTATTGCGTTCACACATGCGAAGCTAAACCGAATCACACCTTGAAAATTTCAGGTTTAACTTCCTGTATTGATCACTCGCGCATGTGCCGCACAGGAAATCTTAAAATACCAACAAAATTTGTGACGACAAATGCAACTCAAAAGACATTCCAGCATTCTTGAGAAGTATAAGATGGCAAAATAAGTTTGTTTCCTCATGTTGTAGTGAGTGGTGACCGCCAAATACGTTTGGTGCAATCGCTAAAGTAATTAACTTATCTGCACACATGCGCAGTAAGATCTGTACAGGTGTCGATTCCGGTAAGTTATTCAAATCGTGCTTAGAAATCCACCTCGCTTGCATTTATTTGAATTGTGACCTAATTCACAACTTATCCGGATAACTGAGCGTAATGTGAATGGGGTAAAAGTGCCTTCAAGCATATCTATAACTGCCAGTGAGCAAAGAACATTCAGCACTTTCAATTCTATAACAAATGAAAAATGATGAATGTTCTTTGAAAAAAATCACTAAAGAATAAATTGGGGCAAGCAACAAACAAAAAAAATGAAATACTTCTGTCTTTGTTTAAAACAAACAAACAAACAAACAAACAAAAAAGCACCTAAGAGAATGCTTAACCCAGAATTATAAAACATGAGACATCCTATAAAACAAAATAAAAACGCACATGTAATTGTATTTTTTGAAATGCAGCAAAAAGGTTTCTAGGCTATATATCTGGTCCACTTGAAAGTCATTCTTCACATTCCACTTTCTATCAAACTGAAATTGCATCCTTGCTTCATTTTCTTTAGTAACAGAGATGTTTGGAAACTAAAATGCATCACTTACAAAGTTCACACCAGCCTGGTTTTTTAACAATTTACTTTTTTAATGTAAATACAGTAGGAGCTGCCTTTACATAACAGCCAATCTATCAAGATGTCAATCTCTCAAACTAGTGTAATAAAGATAGCTGTACTACTCGACGTTGAAATGGCTGTAGACAACTGATCATATTTCTTTAAGGCTTTTATTTTTTCGATAATTTATGTGTACTGTGTTTCAGTAAAATGTGTAGAAATAAGTTACACCTGCTGGCCCTTCTCGTTGTACAATGTTTTTTTTCTTTTTTGATACTTTTAGGAAGTCAATACATTACTTTTCTTAAGTACATCAAAAACGTGTATTCTTTCTACCTTACTCATAAAAATGTGCATATGACAAGGACTAATTTTTTGTCATTATTACTTTTACTATAGTGTGAAAAAGGTGGGTTTATTTTACTTTTGCAATTTACTTGCTAGTCTGAATTGGGTTACTGTGGTGTTTTGTCACAAAGAAATGCAACATTTTAAACTTTGATGATATAAACAAATATTGAGTATGGGGTACGTTATCAACCATCAGTATTACAACATAGGTCTTGAGGGTTTATATCCGTCAAGATACCGAAAATGAGATTTTTCCTATATCTAATTATTCAATAATACCTCTACCTTTGTGCTGATATAAAACAGAAAAAATCCACTCAGAAATATAAAATATTAGCATTTATAGTTCTAGTTGTTTTGTATAAGCATAGGCAACTCAAGGCTTTTATCCTCAATTTAACACCTTTTTATTTTGAGGTGATATAGCAATCGGTATGGGGTGTTAATTTATCCCTGAACAAGATTTTATCATGAAAATTGGCATAGTTGATCACAAGTGTATGGGCTTCAATTCCATGTCATCATTTTGGTAAAAATGTTTTTGTTATGGAGTTATGAGCCCCTAATTACATATTTTCATTAAACAAAGGCATTATTTTGCTTTATCAACAATAAAATCTGAACTATGGCTTTTAAAAAAATCCCTAGTAGGGTTTTGGAGTATTAAATGGTGTCATTAAATTGGTATTGAAAGTTTGTGTAGATGCTCAGATAAAAGAAATTTGAGAAACCGATTTTTCCATTTTTACCCAAAAAATCACTATTACGGTAAAAACTTCACCTTCATCAGAAGACAATTTTCACAGATGTAATTTTTTTCACTTTGAAAATTTCATCGAACTTTAAAATGGGCCTCTCAATGATTTTTGAAAAGTTTGCCACCTAATATGGCCGCGTTGTGCAGCTCAAACATGAAGGTAATGCGTCAGGTAATAACACTCTCAATAGGAGATAGGAACAACAGTGCGCCCCTGGGGGTGGCTACTCACAATATAGATGGTTTAGATATGAATTCCCGTTCTCAATTGTGGGAACGTCGGCCTTTTGTCTTAAGAACATTTAACGATTATACCTAGCTCATGAATATGGAGATCGTTCGTGATCCGAATAGGACGAGAACGCAATGTTCATATCTTTAGCCGAGAATCGTTCGTGAAATATCGACAGCAGATCATTCGCGATCCGAGCAAAACGTAAAGGCAATGTAAGCAAGAATAACATGCAATTTTCATATTAGTTCAAGGGACTTAAGAACTTCATTCGCGGAAGATCGTCAGCGGGAGATCATTATTTTTAACTCCTCCCCCTTTGAATTTTTCAAATATGTATATTTTCATTTTGTCTTTAAACCCCCCTCCCGGCACTTGGCGAAGTTGGACTCCCTGAAATTTTTTAGGAAGTTACAGATGGTAATTTTAGAAGGCCTGACACCTAATCCTGGGAAAAGCCCTGCATGCAACAAATGTTGCTATTTAAGTGTGTAATTTGTTAAATATATGCAGAGTCCAGTTTATAATGTAACGTTGCAATTAGGCTTACCTTATGTTTCTTACCGGGAAAGACAATTCTCAACTTACTTTTCGGGTAAGTTCATACGGTAATATGCCAAACAATTCGACAAAGATTAATTAATTAATTTCTTGGAAATGTCAGTTTGGTCGAATTGATTAAAATACAGCAAATGGAAACCTTTGATATCGTCGGATTGTTAGGGGCATCTGCCAAAACGTCCATCTTTCCGGAAGTATTGCATTTTACTGGAAGTGTTACGCAAGGTAAGCCGCAATTTTCGCCTAACACGTGTTTCAGGCATGTTTTATCCTCCTTCTGAAATCTTATTTTGCTGTGTACAATATGTGCTAACATTACTTAACATTAAAAAAGACGACAATTATAATTTCTTATTATATATTTCCCTCACATACAATCATTTTCATGATGCGCTTCACGTACAAGTGGGACGAGTATTTCCCCAGAGACAGGTGTTGTTAACAAAGGCCAGTCACTTATATTTGAAACCGGTAGCTTTAGTGGACTTAAACTAGTTATTTGAATTTTAATATGACAACTGAAATCAACGGAATTGAAATTTTTTTACCAGTCTGAGATCAGTTGTTTTCAACAGAGATGCACTAATAAATAGATTATTATTTACCACCAGAAAGTCACTTAGGAAGTAGTGATAAATATCCCACAACATATGAGGGACAAGGATAAAAGCCAATAAGGATAAAAGCCCAAAGGTCGGAGTTCTGAAAATTTCATCATACCCAGGAGTCAGGGAGATGTAATTTAAAAAAATCGGATTTACACAATTTAAAATATTAATTAATTTTTAAGCTGTGAATCTAAAAAGTTTTTACAGTATGACTTCACCTGTAAGACCGGATGTGTGTAAATTTTAATTAGTTCAATCACTAAACACTGAAGATATATCTATTATCCAAAAGAATATATATAAGGTAGTAAATAAGGAGTTTTTGGCAAATGTTTACAGTAGCCTTAACAGTTTGTGAGGGCCTCTTTAACAAACAAACAAAAAAAAAATCAAACATGCAATCAAAATTTTTTGAAAGTTGGCCAATTCCTTACCATTAGTATTCAAACTAGACAGTTAAGTTGGCAAAAATAGGGACGATTCTAAGACAATTTACCCCAGACAATTCCCCCCCCCCCCCCCAAGAACATATATTTATATACAAATATAAGGGGTGTAAAGTTTAAAACATCTTATTCCATTCTAAATATTTTTAGTATGCTAAAGCAACTCTATCATTAGACAAATTATTTTATGACAAATTCCTTTTTCATCGAGTACAAGTACAGGAAGTTTTATTAAATATCTAATCAAAGTATAACGACCTATCCTCCAGATACAAGTACAGAAAGTTTTATTATATACCTAGTCAAAGTATAACCACCTATCCTCCAGGTAAAGGTGGGATAAACAGGTAAACAGATATTTTATGAATATCTTAAGTGTGGCGGGTAGTGGGTAGGTGGGTAGTAGTCAAGCAATTAAAAGTGGCAGATAATCAAAAGGATACCTGGATAAGTGAGAAAATCTGTTTACTGTACCTCTCCCTAGAGAATCACCTTGATTCAAGGCAGGTAACTTGACCAAGCAATTAACAGTTAATTCATCAAAGGGTGAGATCATCTGTTTACCCCACCTTTACCATTAGACCCATATCTCTAACCCCGATGCTCTCTAAGTTATTGGAGGGTTTTATTGTTAAATGGATTTGGGACATTGTGACCAATAAGATTGACCATTGAGCTGTACGACATACGCACTGATCGAAGCTATTGACCTTATTGCAAGGCAGACTGACACTCTAGGACAATATGCCAGAATGCTTTTGGTCGATTATACCAAAGCATTCGATAGAATAGACCATACCCTGCTTTATCAAAAACTGTTTGAATTAGGTATCCCAGGAATTATTTCAAACTGGATTTACAGCTTTCTAACTGTCACATAGGTGAAAATACACTGACCCTAAATATTAGAAAATCAGATTTTTTTTCTGCATCTATTTTTTAAATCTTACATTAACAGAAAAATAAGGCACTTCTTATTGGTTTCATAAGTGGAAGAAATTTACAAATTACCACATTAAGAAATACACAGAAATAGCCCTAATGCTGACTGACCCCTAAAATTTAGTTGTTAGGTTTGTTTATCATTATGTATGTAAAGATAAAAGTTTTAAGTCTGTTGTAAATGAATTATTGTGGGGTTGCTTATAAACCACAAACACTGCTGAGAGTGACTACTTAAAAGAAAATGAGTCCTCCCCCAGCCCCACCACCACAACACATATACACACACATTTGGACTATTTACGCCACTGTGTGCAGGATTTATGCATCAATGATTCATACATAGCTACATCATTTGGCTGATATTAGGAACATGATGGACAATTTTCTAACAGAAATTAGAAGAAAATGCAATTTTTTTTTGGGGGGGGGGGGGGGGGGCTTGATTTGGTTAATCTTTAGCCATGTTGATTTGAGTTGTGTAAGAAACTGGTATAAGTTCATTACAATAAACAAATGTAAATGTAACGAATGGATGTATACATGATTATATTTTGCATTACAAGATAAAGCCTGTGCTACCACATAAACCCATTGTACATTTACATAACAATGAGATGGAATACTACAAGATAAGCACGAATACCCCATGCATATCCATAACCTTCACGTGTTTCTAAGCTTACAATAGTGTATAAGAAACATGTTACTAAAAGGCATGGTATCAAATGTTTCTTAATTATACCAAATAATCTTATTTATAAAATTAGTTTAATCACATGATTTTTTTCTAAAATTGAAGTAATAAAAATAATTCATTTATGACAAAAATACCCTTATTGAATTTTTACAGTTATCAGCAATTCTGAACAGCTACGATTATCATTTTTGTACAAGAAATGCTGTCATCATATATGTGCAGTACAAAACTTCTGATACCACTCCTTGAGCTACATGCAAATATATGACCATTTATTACCCTCATACAAAAATCTTTTTTTTTTTTTTTTTACCTTTTTAACTACTCTAACATATCTTATTAGATGATGCTGTGCAACAGATGAAAAATTCAAATGATTATATTGTACTTTTAGATTATCTTGAAAAAAGTGCTTAACATGTTATAACCTCAGAAACTTGACAGCAATTTGAGCAATACTGGCATAAAGCATGTTCAAATCAACCAGTGACCTTTTCATATCACATATACTTAAACAGACATTGTTTTTATCATTTAGCATAAATTAACATAATACAGCCTGCAATCATCTAGAATATTTTTATCAACGAGCCAATTAACACTGTTAGTTAAAATTCCAACATCTTAGAAAATGTTAAATCTAACTCTTACATGTACTACCAGATGTCCTACAAAGGCACTGGCAAAAACCTGATGGTATTAGTAAAGGCATGCAACCCTTAGTGTAAAAACATCATATGACTTGTACAAGTCAGTCTCCCAAAAAATCCAGCCCAATACCTTACCTCATTATTTGGATCTACTACCAACTTTTCCTCTAACTTGAAAAAAACACAAAATAAACAACATTCACATTGACTACTGGTGATATATCTAAACAAATGACTATGCAAAAGGGAATAAAGCAAAACACAAATATTTCCATATGGAATGGATCTATATTTAAAACATTATTTTGACAGATAGTTGTATTATCATTAAGTGCTGCAAAATATTCTGAACTGCCAATCAATGTATAAACTTAAAGGGCATACTTAATAAGAGTAAATCTATCTGTTTAAACAGAACACAAGGCACGGTGCATTTCATCACATAAGCAATTGTGCAAGCACATCAGAACATTCAATGTTTAGAATCAATACAAGACTTATAAATAAAATATTCTATGAATGACAATTATACTCTTTTATGTCACATTATACAAGCAAAAGTATCCAAATATTAATGGAGTTTTTCATTTACTTACTGGGGATGATGCAGAAAAACCTACTCCCCCAGTACCACCCAGCATTCTCGGCAAAGCTGCCACACTGGCTCTCCTTCTGGCATTTGGCCCATTCACCTAAAAAAAAAAAAAAGAAGAAAAATTGGAAATGTGGCATATCAGAAATATGCACCAATTTTTTCATGTCAATCAAAAGGATTATAGGAAACAGTGCTCTGACTGAACACTTTTACCTTTTACAGAATCTTCAGTTAACTATTGTAAACTTTTGTGAACTAGAAAATACATGATCATGTAATAGAAAATATACCAGCCAAAAAAAATAAATAATGAAAAAAAAGAAAATGCAAGTTTTGTTTTGTCTATGGTTATATGAGTCATCCTTTTCCATTCTTCCACCAGTCCAGCTCTTTACTCTATGATGGTGGTAGGCTGTGACTAGCGGTTATTATGAAATCATCTGCCCAGTTCATCCCAACTATGCTCAATAGGAGATGTCAGCATGGAATTCAGTCTCCTAAACTGGTTTTTCTGATTCCAGGGTCCACTAGTATTGATTCTGGACAACTGATTTCTGCAAGACTTTTGTCCAAATTTGGGGGCATTCAGAATGGATGATCTGAGTACTTATTGATCCGCTGACTAAATATGGCCGACCACAGATCAAAAGTGATGCTGCTGATTTCTGATGGTCTCCCTGCCTCCACACACGCCATCGCTGCAGGGGCCTAGCAATTAAACCTCGGAGCAAAGATTTAATCCGTTTAAAGGTACGTGTGGAGTCAGGGAGACCATCAGGAATCAGCGGCATTGCTATTGATCTGCGGTTGGCCATATTTAGTCAGCGGATCAGTAAATACTCAGATCATCCACTCTGAATGGGGCCTTTGTATTTAAATGAGATGTCTAAAAAATTTTAAGCCAGCCATTGTCTGGAATCACTCAAGTCTATCAGTACTCTACGACAGGGCTGAGATGGTGTTCTGTCAATGAATACAGTGACTATACTAACATCTGCATATTTGGATATTTTGAAGCATTGTGGTCAAAAAAACTTGCATTTCTTTATTCAGCTAGTATATATATATTATCATTATATAATGGAGGACTAATGTCATGTATCTGTTCAACAGCAAAGATATTGTCAAACTTGTCAACTGAAAACAAAGGTAATATAATCAGTATTCAAAATAACACAACAATTAAAGTTAACCCATAGTATGGGCGGCCAAAAGGGCAAAAATTCATGTCGTCGATTCAGTTATGTTTCGTCGATTCACTACCTTCCCATCGATTCAGTTTCAAGTTTAAACGACCCTGTCATAAATTCAGCATCTAATTTCGTCAATTCAATTGTCAAACATTTCTCGTCAACGGTGTATTAAAACCAATGCTGTCACTATTTTCGTCGATCGTGTAACTATTCTCGTCGATCGTCAAACTATTCTCGTCGTTTGTCTAACTGTTCTCGTCGATCCTGTAACATCACCTCATCATTCATCGATCGATCGCCAGAGGGCGCTGCGGTAGCACATTGGCCTATCACATGACCATCAAAATGGCAGACAACAAAATGATTGCTAGTGAAATAAGAAGATTTTCTCAACAATTTCAATTTTAATTGTTAATAATTAAAATATATTCGGTTGTAGGGACATTATTTTCTAGTTGTTTTCAACTCTGACCATGGCTGGCCGAGTTAAAAATTACCGCGTGATTTACAGACAGAAGCACGTGTTGCTACCGCAGCGCCCTCTGGCGATCGATCGATGAGACTATCGACGAGAATAGTTAGACGATCGATGAGAATAGTTACACGATTGACGAGATTAGTTGGACGATCGTCGAGATTACACGATCGACGAGAATAGTTAGACGATCGACGAAAATCGTGAGAGCATTGGTTTTAATACACCGTAGATGAGAAATGTTTGACAATTGAATTGACGAAATTAGCTGCTGAATTCATGACAGGATCGTTAACTTTAAACTTGAAACTGAACCGATGGGAAGGCAGTGAATCGACGAAACATAACTGAATCGACGACATGAATTTTTGCCCTTTTGGCCGCCCATACCCATAGCCCCAAAACACACAAATACCAACACCCATTACAAATGTCACTCTCACATTTCTTTAAAAGATTTAATGTCAAAGCATGCCTTTATTAAATAGAACAGTGCTGAAAGCAATTAACAAAGACCAACCTGTAATGCAGAATAATCCAACTAATCCAACTAAGACCCTTTTTTTTTACAAAATATACACGGAACAAATGAGAACTACTATAAAGTTGTACACAAGGATTTCAGGGCTTTAGTTTTCATATATTGTTCTATTCTATTTTAGATTTCTGTGTAACATGAATATAAAGCTACTGTACATCACTGTTGTGAAGTATTTACTTGTTAACAAAATGTAATATGTCCTTTGCAGCTTGGTTTTCTATGAAGATTCATTTTTATCAAACACTAAATATGCTTTATGTAGTCAAAATATGTCTCCAAAAACATCATGCATTATACCAGTAACAAACTAATAGTTGCAAAAATATCCAGCATCTTCCACAATATATAATATGTTTCCCACCTTGTTTACTAAATGATTAAGCATCTATTATTTCTTTAAAACACTTTATGACCAACATTATGTGCAACACATACTTAAATTTACTGATAAAAACTGAAGCCAAATATTCAAATTTGCAAATTTTGTTTTATATTATTTTGAAGGAAGTATCTTTACATAAATTTTTACATAATATATTCTAGTACATATATATGCGAAATATAAAGAAAAGAAAAACAGCAAAGGCATGAAAAGGGAACCCAGTGGTCAAAGAAGCTACACAAACCAAACATGCAGTTACTACCTCTTTTTTGTCAGTCACAGGTATGTAATTAACAGCAGTAAGTGATGAAGGCAAAGACTTAGTCCTGTGTGTGGGCGGGGTGAACTAGCATTGTATAGAAACAAAGAGGCATTTGGTTAAATCAAATGTAATTAAAACAAGATACACGTATGCCCACACTTCCTTTTTTAAGTGATTATACTTTTTTTCTTTTAGTTGATAAGATCATAAGTTTTTTAATGAATATTTAATTTTACTATTGGAAATTACCTCAGCTGTGTACCAATATATTGGTTCATATAATTACAACTGATACTATTGTTAACAAATTTTAACCATGTTCAAATAAATGGTCCCACTCAATCAAGAAAGTGAGAGCAGAAGTTTCAAACTTCCATTGAAGATTAGTATTTTAAACAAGATGTCCGTTTTATCAAGGCATTTCCTTTGTGGTTAGATCATGCATCTAATAATGCATCTAATTGTAAAAAAAACTCAAGCTGTTGTTAATTTGTTAAACTTCTGAAATCTAATTGATCTTAAAAGTCAGAATTACAGACATCAAAATTACCTTCAGTGTTGTCGTTCTTCTTAGTAACACTGAATCCCCTGAAATGTGATGCAAATTGGATTTCCTTTAATATTCAAATCAGTAAACTGTACTTTCTGACAATCCATTGGATCAGATAACAAAATTTACTGAACATTTTTTATTGATTACAAGCAAATTTAATGATTTTTGATATACTTGTTATGATAAAAGAGCTATATACAAACCCAAGTCAGATGATAAACTAGGACACATGATCTTGTTGTCTTTTAAAATTCTCCTAAAAATAAAAAATTAGTGTAATTAAATAGGTGTGATATATCATGTGTAGCATAACTCAAAATGGCTTAATAGACAAACAAACCATATTATCCTATATAATATAGTTCATATAATTGAAATAATGTTAATGTAATCAAAATATGCGAGAAAGATAGGAAGTGTACTTTGTTTCATCCAATTCTGTGGATAGTTTTTCGTGCAGCCTCTTCAGGTTTTCTACATATTGCACCATGCTGTCTACTGCCTTGCTCAGCCTGCATTCCTGGAAAGATCAGACATTTACAGTAATTACAAAGGCATTTACTTTCTCAAAACAATCATTCTTAATATGAAAACAATAAACATTTCTCTTTTTTCACACCATAAATGATGACTTCTACTCAAATAGGGTCAATCCAACAGGAATTATCTGACCACTGCTAATCACCAGTTTCTACAGTTAGAAGCAGCTCAGATCCCACTCCATCTCACATCTATGGTTATTACCAATTATATACCAGCACAGGAACAAAACCATATGCCTCAATATGAGAACAAGGTCATCAGATGACTTTGGGGCGTTTTAGCATGTAGTTTCTACAAAATATCAATTTAGCTAATTAACGGGCCAAACAGAAGCCTCAAGATATTTTTATAGTATGTTATTATATTTTTTATTACTGAAGATGATAAACAAGAAGCATTTTGATTAATGGCTTGCCAATTTATAACAAAGTTCCATTTTTTACGAGGCTACAAACTGTCTCCTATAGTGGATTGCCAATGCTCTGCTTTTGAGAAATTGCAGAAGTAGAAGTTTAAAATGTTTTGTCAGCCAATTTTGCCAAAACAGAAGGGTTTTCTCATACTATTATACATTATCTGAAATGAACCATCCTAGGATTTAAAATACATTTTCATGATCAACCAAAACAACCAGAGAGTAAACACTGGCAGGCTGTCAATTTTGTCATTTTGTTAATTTCAAAAAGTGCGATTTTCACATATGTTTGCATATGTTTGACACATGTGCTATATATAAAATGGAGACAGATGTGTGTAAATTCTTATTCAAAAACACAGTGAAGACTTGTATTTGGTATAAATATCAGAATATTTTCAATGTACTTTAAACAATCCCCTTGGTCTGCAACAGGTATAAAAATTAGATGTTTTTGTATCTATCATATATCCAAAGCAATGATTAAATTTGTAATCCTCACTAAGTTACCTGCTTTACAGCACCATGAAGCTCTGCATGTCCTGACATACGAAGAGTGGAATATTCTACCACTTCAACATGCTTCTGTACTGCATTGTACAGATCTCTACTTTCCTGATCAGTACACAATAGGCCAAGCATCTGCAAATTTTATGCATAATATAAAAATAATAATATACAATGCAATAAACATAATGCTATTGGTCAACAGGTATTATTATTTTCATGGTTACTGTGAACTCAGAGTAATATTTAAAACACTTAATTAAGTGATTCTTTACAGAAGACTATTTATTTTTACCTCAATGGAATTCTTCATGTCCCCTATTTCATTGAGAATACTGTCTTCTGCCACACTTCTGATGTGCCCCTGAAGTTCTAACCTTTTTTCCACTGTTGTTTTGTCAGTTTTGAATGCTAAGGCTAGTTGATTAAATTTGGCCTACATTGCAAAAATTAGCTGTCAGTTAATGGTTATATATATATATATATATATATATATATATATATATATATATATATATATATACGGTAATATGCCAAACAATTCGACCATGATTAATTAATTAATTTCATGGAAATGTCAGTTTGGTCGAATTGATTGAAATACAGCAAATGGAAACCTTTGATATCGTTGGATTGTTAGGGGCATCTGCCAAAACGTCCATCTTTCCGGAAGTATTGCATTTTACAGGAAGTGTTACGCAAGATAAGCCGCAATTTTCGCCTAACACGTGTTTCAGGCATGTTTTATCCCCCTTCTGAAATCCTATTTTGCTGTGTACAATATGTGCTAACATAACTTAACATTAAAAAAGACAGCAATTATAATTTCTAATTATATATTTCCCTCACCTATGATCATTTTCATGATGCGCTTCACAAGTGGGACGAGTAGGCCTATTTCCCCGGAGAAATAGGTGTTGTAAACAAAGGCCGGTCACTTATATTTGAAACTGGTAGCTTTAGTGGACTTAAACTAGTTATGTGATCTACGTATGCCCTATTTGAATTTTAATATGACAACAGAAATTAACAGAATTGAATTTTTTTACCAGTCTGAGATCAGTTGTTTTCAACCCGCAAGGCTTGCTCAGTATCGAGGCGTAGATGTACGTACTTACGAAGAAAATTCAATCACCCGTATCAAAGAATACCAACTGGTACTCAAACGGAAATCAGTGTAACTTCAAATTACTTTTAAGTATTTTATTTAAAAAGCATGTCATATTAAAACGTATTGAAAAAAGGCAAAATACGGAGCCTACCTGTGCCGATAGACATACAGTATCTTGTTGGCACTCTTCCGACTTTCTTACTTACATACTCTCGCTGTGCACAAACCACGGTGCATATTGAAAACCCCACTGATACAACCCGAACGTAAAAAAAGCATTTAATTGCCATAATTTTCACAAAACAGGTGCATTTATAATTTGACGTGAGAATTGAGCACATGCAGAAATGAGAGACTGGTCTTATCTGGTCTGCTCCAGCATAGCGCAAACCACATGTTAGTGAACACGGTCCCTTTTTGGGGAAGGGGGGTCACAGTAATAGAGTTCTTCGTGGATTACGCTAAATATTATCAATATCATTTCATGCATCTGGGGAAATAGAAAGTGAATCACAGGTAACGTGAATACCCAGTGGAACTCTCTATGAAGCTCCCATGGAGTTAAGGAAGACGTCATTTTTATTGCTGACAAATCAGTTATCCATGTAGGTGAACAGCTACACGTGTTCGTCAGATTTTGACAGCGCGTGGTATTTGGCGCCAAGAAGTCTGGGCGGTCGATCCCGCTGATCTTTCGGTCGANATAATGACAGGTACGTCATGCTTCCAGATTAGATCTTCAATTAATTGTTTCCTCCTCATTGACGAGAGCTATTGAAAGGACAACAATTGACAAAGGGCCGAGGCATGCAGCATCTATTTCACTGGCTTGAAAATTTACCGAGTCTTGCCGACGATGTGGTCGAACAATCGGAACAAGAAAAAAATTCTGGAGCATGATTTTGACGTATGGACTAAATGTTTGAGCCCAGAAAAATTAATTTTATAAAATAATTTTTGTGGTCCGATTGACTGGGCCCGTCGAAATGCTTGGCACATTACCGTATATATATATATATATATCTCAAACATGTCCCAGAAAAATTTGAAACTAATCAATTTTTGGCAAAACTGAAAAACTTAACTTTTATTAGGCTGTTTTGTTCTTACAAAGCCAGTTGAAATGTTGTCAATGTGAATCAGCTCCTTTTAAAGTTAAATCAATAAAAGTTTTTTTAAAAATGTCATTTTTTGCATGTTCACTACTAAGAAACAAGCATGTTACAAATAACAAAGTTCATCATGTGTCACTTACCTCTAGTTCTTTATCTGTAGCTTCATTATTTTTCCTAAAACAAACATTTAATTAGTTTCCTACATCAGAGTATATAGTGTGTCCCTTGGAAAATTTTTCTGCTACAGTATGTCCCACTTAAAATTCATCACAATATTTTTTTTCTATCTGCATCTTTTAAAACTAATTTGGCATTCTTTTAAAATATCTTAGTAAATGGCAATTAAATTCTATCGTTTTCAAGGATGAGCAATTTGATTCAGAGGAGGTCAATCTCTAAACTGTTCTTTGGCCAGTATTTAGCAGAGCAACAATGATATATAAATCTCACATCANGTATCTGGTCTGCTCCAACATAGCGCAAACCACATGTTAATGAAGACGGTCCCATTTTGGGGAAGGGGGGTCACAGGAATGGAGTTCTTCGTGGATTACGCTAAATATTATCAACATTTCATGCATCTGGGGAAATAGAAAGTGACTCACAGGTAACGTAAATACCCAGTGGAACTCTATGAAGCTCCCATGGAGTTAAGGAAGACATCATTTTTATTGCTGACAAATCAGTTATCCATGTAGGTGAACAGCTACACATGTTCGTCAGATTTTGACAGCGCGTGGTATTTGGCGCCAAGAAGTCTGGGCGGTCGATCCCGCTGATCTTTCGGTCGATTGTAGTAAATGTAAGATCTTGCAGTGTTGACTTCAAGAACGTTTCCCCATCTGCATATATATTTCAATCGAACTTGAAAATAAATTGCTTATTCTACCCAAACTTTTTTTATTGCTAGCAAACGCTATATATGGTCTATATGAAGGTGTTTACGACGTATTTTACCCACTGTCAATATTTGGTTTCATCCAGAATAGACCTTTTTTTACCCCCCCCCCCCCTCCCCAGTTACGGGCGTGATAAATCAGTCAGCGAGGGCAAGTCTGCTTAATTAGCAAAATTTGTATGTCTAAAAGCTCTATTATTGTCATTGGGGACAAAGGAAATGACAGGTACGTCATGCTTCCAGATTAGTTCTTCAATTAATTGTTTCCTCCTCATTGACGAGAGCTATTGAAAGGACAACAATTGACAAAGGGCCGGGGCATGCAGCATCTATTTCACTGGCTTGAAAATTTACCGATCTTGCCGACGTTGTGGTCGAATAATCAGAACAAGAAAAAAATTCTGTCGCATGATTTTGACATATGGACTAAATGTTTGAGCCCAGAAAAATGAAATTTATAATATAATTTTTGTGGTCGGATTGACTGGGCCCGTCGAAATGCTTGGCACATTACCGTATATATATATATATATATATATATATATATATATATATATATATATATCAAACATGTCCCAGGAAAATTTGAAACTAATCAATTTTTGGCAAAACTGAAAAACTTAACTTTTATTAGGCTGTGTTTTGTTCTTACACAGCCAGTTGAAATGTTGTCAATGTGAATCAGCTCCTTTTAAAGTTAAATCAATAAAAGTTTTTTCAAAAATGTCATTTTTTGCATGTTCACTACTAAGAAACAAGCATATTTCAAATAACAAAGTTCATCATGTGTCACTTACTTCTGTGCATTTAAAAACTTTTTAAATCTTACCTCTAGTTCTTTATCTGTAGCTTCATTATTTTTCCTAAAACAAACATTTAATTAGTTTCCTACATCAGAGTATATAGTGTGTCCCTTGGAAAATTTTTCTGCCACAGTATGTCCCACTTAAAATTCATCACAATATATTTTTTCTATCTGCATCTTTTAAAACTAATTTGGCATTCTTTTAAAATATCTTAGTAAATGGCAATTAAATTCTATTGTTTTCAAGGATGAGCAATTTGATTCAGAGGAGGTCAATCTCTAAACTGTTCTTTGGCCAGTATTTAGCAGAGCAACAATGATAGATAAATCTCACATTAGAGTTAACATTTAATAATGCTGTTGAATACAAACAAAGTGAATTAATGTTACTATTAACAAGTTTCAAGCTTACCCTTCTCCTTTCTTTCCCTTTGAAGAAAATGGCAACAGCCCAAACTTCTTTAGGACAGAGTCTGGAAGATTGGGTGTGACAGGAGTATTCTCATTGTCATGAACTCTACCATTCAGTTGCACTTCTCCATTGGTTTGTTGTTCATTCTTCTTAATCTGTTGACTGCTTTCCGTACTGATGGCATCAGTCTCTCTGGTACAGCTGGCATGCTTGGGTGCAGCAAGAATCTTCGTGGAGAAGACTGCAAAAGTTAAACATGTAGCTAATTCACATGTATTGGATGCATGTCATGCATTGATCATAATGACTTCTGAATATATTCTACTGTTCAACAGCTGTGACCAACACTTAACTCCAAGATGTTTCAATCCTGTTGTTCCATTTTCTTTGAAAACACTAATATTATTGCAACTTTGTCTTGCTTTCACTAAGCTGACTATTTCACTTTCTAAAACAGCTGATGTAAATTCAGTCTGGTACTTCAAGATAGTGCCACACAAGATCAAATCTAATGCTGCCACACATCACCTTAATTAACCTTACATTCAAAACAAAAAGGAGTTCCTTACCAATATAAGAGTATTTTTCATTCATATTTTGAGAAATGATATGGCAATAAGTATATACTTCACCTACTTCTCATCATAAAATGATGTTTATGCAGTTAAAGAAAGCATTTCAGTTTTAAGTTTCTTATCAACATTCTCTTCTGACATGTCTAAACTAAAAAGGTAAATAAGAGATAATTTTACATTTTCTTTCAAACTTTTGCACATGAAAATGAAACCTCAATATTAATGGTAACTAATTTACCTTCAAAAAACAATTTCTACAAAACTTCATACCAACATGATCTATTTCATTAGTGTTAAAACATGCTAGATCAGGGAAGGGTCTTAAAAATAGCATATTACAAACTCTACAAAACCCCAGGTAGAGCATCAAGATCCATCATCTCAGCATGGGAAGTGTTCACTCATAACAATCCATACCATAAATCATTGAAAAAAATTATACAAGTAATATACTTTGAACTGATCTTCCTCCTGTGTGACCCTTATACCATATGGGGAAAAGAAAATGTATTTATCTGAAAACTATTTTTACACTTACCCTGCTACATGTATGAAAAAACGAATCATTAAATGAATTCATGAAAAAAAGAAACATACAATAAAAGTTATTCAGCATAAAAGAGAGGGGAGTGAAAGGGAAAATTTATTACACCCTTCCAAAAAACAACTTCAAAGCAATTATTGATTAGGTCCATTCACTACATGTATAATCAAAAGTTTATAATAAGGTTCATTGACAAAGAGGTTATTAATTGATGATTCAGTGTAAAATGAAATTATGAAATATTGAAATATTACATGACTGCTGTTCAAAACCAAGAACCCTTAAAATGGCTGTGATGCCTGTCAGATACTCCGCAAAGTTTAAGTCCATGTGAAACTAGAGGATCAGAGAGGCGATACCGCCTCCAGATATTGTACCACCAGCTGGAGTAAGTGCATTCGTATGGACCCCCCCCCCCAAAAAAAAAAAGGGACACCACCACCAGTCTTGTGCTTGACAAGCTTTATGAAATGCAATCAACAAGAGTTCTCAAAATATGCAAAAAAATATATATATAACTAAAAATGGTACAATCAAGCAGATTTTTGAACTGACTTGCATTTTCCTACCACTGATCACTCCTGTGATTCTCTAGACAATAGGCCTATTGGTTTTCCTTGAAATGTGTTGTCAGTGGTGCATATATGCTGACAAAAGAAAAAACCTAGGGGCAACAACTTTCACATCTCTGCTAGATTTGAAGCTATGAGGGGCAGGAAAATATGCAAAGCTCAGTTCATGGTGAAAAAGTAGTTCAAAGGTCAATTTCAATATCATAGTATATCAATTTCTATTCAAGTTCAATAGTAACCATGGGCATTTCTTTGCCAATTTTGCAGATTTAAAGGCCAGAAAACATGCAAAAAGCAGTTCATCATAAAAAGTAAGTTAAAGGTCAATTTCAAGGTCAAAGATTGCCAGTGTATTACTTCCTATTCAAGTTCAAAAGTAACTATAGACCTATCTCTGCCAGTTTTGGAGATAAAAGAGAACCAAAATTTGCAAAGTTCAATTCATGATAAAAAGTAGGTCAAAGGTCAATTTCAAGGTCACACTTAGATTGCCAGTATATGACTTCCTATTCAAGTTCAATAGTAACTATGGACCTATCTCTGCCAGTTTTGGAGATAAAAGGGAACCAAAATTTGCAAAGTTCAATTCATAATGAAAGGTAGGTCAAAGGTCAATTTTAAGGTCACAGTAAATTGCCTCTAATGACTTTCTATTCAAATTCAATAGTAACTATGGGCATATCTTTGCCAGTTTTGAAAGTATAAGCATTAAAAAAGTTGCAAAGTTCAGTTTATGGTAAAATGTAGGTCAAAGGTCAATTTCAAGGTCAGAGTAAGATTACTAATATGACTTCCTATTCAACTTCAATAGTAAATATGGCCCTATCTGTGCCAGTTTTGAATATAAGGGGCAAAAATGTTGCAAAGTTCAGTTCATGATAAAAAGTAGGTCAAAGGTCAATTCAAGGTCACACTAAGATTGCCAGTATATGACTTCCTATTCAAGTTTAATAGTAACTATGGACCTATCTCTGCCAGTTTTGGAGATAAAAGGGAATAAAAATTTGCAAAGTTCAGTTCATGGTGAAAAGTAGGTCAAAGGTCAATTTCAAGGCCACAGTTAAATTGCCAGTATGTGACTTCCTATTCAACTTTAATAGCAACTATGGACCTATCTCTGCCAGTTTTGGAGATATAAGGGACTAAATGTTACAATTTTGGAGTTACAATAATGTGCCATAAATTTCCTACAGAAAAAATTAATTAAAATAAAGAAAAGGTCATTTTGGTTGAAATTCTTGAAATGGGAGGTGCTCAGAAGTTCCAGACGTTCAAATTTCATGAAATAATGTCATTTTTGACCAGAAGTTGTCTGCCTTGCCAAGCCTTATGTTTTATTTTCCCGGGGTTCAAAATTTATTATATATTACCGTACTGCACATTTTGCTTTCACCACCACAGTTTACTATTTGATACAGCATAACTCGAAAACTGTATGGAATACAAAAAGACGGAGACCACTCCCAGTGTTGGGCTTGACATGCTCTACAAAATGCAAAAAAAGAATGGGTCTCTAGCATTAACGGTTCCCAAATTAGAGACAGTTTTCAGTTTCGGTATCTTATGGTAGCTACTCCCGTGAAAATGCACTGATTGACCCCAAATTCACAGAGATGAAAGATGACCCTAAGGGTAACACTTTCCAATAATATTATTGGTTAGGTCTGTGTAGTTTCTGAATATCAGCGCAAATATATATATTTTTTTTTTGTAAAAAATTTGGTTTTTTGAAAATTTTGGCCCGTTTTACCTTGAAATAAAGGTCAAAGGTCAAATTCAAGGGCATATTTAAAATCTCCACATATGACTTTCAGTCAGCCATCTATAGAAATTTTTCCCATAATTCCTTCCGTAGGGTAGATAATTAGCATTTAATTTTGCCATTTTTGGACAAGGGTGCATTGCAATGAGTGCCACACCTAGACCCCAGCACCCACAAAGCCCAAATTTTTCGTGGAACGAGTTGAGATTATAGGTGACCTAAATCCAAGAGATGGGTACGGAGGCCCTAACCATCCAGGAGGAGAAGAGGTAATGGTAACATGGCGGCAGAGCCGGCAGAACGATCCAGACGGGACTAAAACCATGTGTACCGCCAGCGCCTACGCTGGTGGTACAATAAAACATAGCAGACACATTCTGTACCTTCTTTTACAAAAATTAAGCCAACCTCACATACACTGCCTTTTCCAGGCAGACTGCGGTATTTCACTTTTGTCACTTGATATCTAAACAGCTTAATTCTTCATAAAATTGATCAATCATTTACTTCTTAGGCACTAAGTGTGCATGGAATCTATAAATCTTCACTTGTCTCATACAGCAAGCTTCAGCCACATTCTATTCGACTAGTCAAAGGCAGCACTAATCATCATTTATTTTTCTTCATTTAGTATCAAGACTTTTAGGTTAATTATGATAAAGTCCTTTCACATTAGTCTAAATGAATGTTTGTTAACAAGAAAACTTAAGTTACATCTAACTAAAATATGAAGATTTTATTTTTCCAAGGTTGTTATCACTTCTACTCATTACTTTGACCTAGACCATTAATAGCCCTAACACCCAGACACAAACTTATGTACAAAGATAACATGACTTGTTGCCATAAACAACATGATCATCATATTATTGACAACAATGGTCTGTACATGTAGGAACCCCATGCATCACTTAGGGCAACTTAATGCATTTCATTAGCCAAAGCAGAGTTGAGTGATGGGATGTAAAGCATTATGCTTCTGCAGCAGTCCTATAAGCCTTAGGCATTAAAACAAGGTAATAAGAAACAAACTCAAGAATACTGTTAAGTACAAAACAGCCACTCTCAATCCTATCAGTTACACCTCTATGGTCAGTTAAAGAAGGATGCAGGTTAAATAGGTGTATAGGCCTTTCAACCAGATGTGTACCATGAACAAAGCAAATATGAGTATAAACAAAATACATCTGTGGTCAAGTTGTCTCCACCTAACACCTGACTTTGAGTTAATTCAGCTGGATTTCTTTAACATGTCTTAATTCTGAGTACCATTCCCCTTTGCAGTAACCAGCAGCAATGAGCAGCTGTGTTTTTGGATATCTTCTACCCCGACAAGATTTAAAGCTCTCTTACAACTTTCTTCATGCACCTTATACTGTGCTACCTGCCTCACAAACGGAAACAGCATTGCAAATATTTATGATTCTATGCCCTAATGATTTAAATTATTGGACAGTGTTACATGTTATTTCAATTCACCTAAGAGATCATTAAGATCAAAATAACCAAAATTGCAGTAACATAACTGATACATCTTTAAGAACAAGTAAGAGAAGATCGCAAAAAGAAACATCACATGTGCTTGTTTACATAAACCTCCCATTTTTTTAAAAACAAACAGTGCAATTAGAACCAATATAATGCATCGGTCCCACTCTTAAATGAGTACTTACTGAGTGGGGAGGGGTGGGGAGAGCCAACTGACAAAGCATTGCCAACATTTTTTCATCTGATATAAAAGACTAATTCTTGTTCATTACATTAATGGCCATCAGCTTAGAAATTTTATTAATGTATAAGAAGGACATGACAGCACACAGATGGTCCTCATCTTACCTCCCTCTTTGGAACATTGGTATCACTGACAACAATCTTCACCAAAGGTGGCACTTCATGATCCATTCCATTGTATTCTTCATGAGGCTTGGGCTGGTCACTTTGGATATTTGGTTTGTGTTCAGAGCCCTGCATGGTTTGGCAATAAGTAAAAAATAAACTTGGCAAATGAACTGTCACATACTGTTAAAAGAGAAATGGCAATGCAGACCTTCTTTATGTTAAACAAGACAGCTATAGCATTATATCAAAATATTTAATCTGCAACCAAGTTTTCTGTATAAGGTTATTCATGAATACACATGATACAGGCAGGGGGTTTCCAGGTTTAAAAGAACAGCCTCATGGACAAGAAAAGGTCCTTTCTGAATCCAAATTTTAAGTAGATTCTATATGTTATTTGCCAAGCTGGGTTAAAGAAGGGTAAAAAGAACTATTTTTTTAAAGATCCCCACCCCTTAAAATTTGAGACTGCAGGCATGATACTAGTACTATATACAATTGTCTGTTCAAGTGAAAAAGTGCTCTAACCATTGCTGGAGAGCTTATAATAAGACAAAAAAAAAAAACTTCCTCCTTTTTTATTTCCTATGGCTGTTACGCCCAAAGACTCTTCAGGTGAATACAATTTCAAAGTACACTGAATTATAAAATGGAAAATGAGCTATGTCATGTCATATGCCCTCTCGATATAACATGCACAATAAATTGCATGTAGTAAAGGCAATTGTTGCAGTAAATTATAATTGCATAATCTATACATTACAATTTCAATACAATATCAACTGGTATGTTATTTAGTATAAAAAAATACTCTCAAAGAGGCACTAATAGGTGAATTAATTAATAACTAGAGGATCAGAGAGGCGATACCCCCTCTGGGTATTGTACCACAAGCTGGAGTAAGTGCATTCATATGGAAAAACAATAAAAGGAATACCACCTCCAGTGTTGTGCTTGACAAACTCTAAAAATGCAGTAAACAAAAGTTCTTAATTTTTTTTGCTGAAAATTATCATTTATAACAAAATCATGGGTAAAAATAGTTTTATTGCAAATTTGTAAAGTGCGATACATGGCGAAAAGTAGGTCAAAGATCAATTTGAAGGTCACAGTTAGATTGCCAATATATGACTTCCTATTCAACTTCAATAGTAAATATGGCCCTATCTGTGCCAGTTTTGGAGATATAAGGGGCAAAAATGTTGCAAAGTTCAGTTCATGGTGAAAAGCAGGTCAAAGGTCAATTTGATGGTCACAATTAGATTGCCAGCATATGACTTGCTATTCAACTATGGCCCTATCTCTGCCAGTTTTGGCGATATAAGGGACTAAAATGTTGTAAAATTCAGTTCGTTGTAAAAAGTAGGTCAAAGGTCAATTTCAAGGTCACAGTTAAGTTGCCAGTATATGACTTTCTATTCAACTTCAATAGTAACTATGGGCTTATCTCTGCCAGTTTTGGAGATATAAGGGACTAAATTCTGCAATTTTAGAGTTACAGTAATGTGCCATAAATTAATAAGTACAGAAGAAATTAATTAAAATAAAAAAGGTCATTTTGGTTGAAATTGATGAAATGGGAGGTGCTCAGAAATTCCAGATGTTCAAATTTCATGAAATGTCATTTTTGACTAGAAGTTGTCTGCCTCGCTAAGCCTTCTTATGTTATCTTTTCCAGACATTTAAAATTTTATGCATATTACGGTATTGCACATTTTACTTTCACCACCACTATGTACTTTTTGATACAGTGTAACTCGTAAACCATATGGAGAACAAAGAAAAACGGACACCACCTTTAATGTTGGGCTTGACATGCACTACAAAATGCAAAAAACAAGGTTTCTAGCATTTATGGTTCCTGAATTAGGGTGCTTTCCCAGAGATTTAGATCGATCTAAAGATTAAGTTTTAGATCGACCTAACTCCCTGGGGGTTCAGGCTAAATTGCAGTCAGCCGAGCGGACACCATAGTTAATTACCCCCTTACAGCTTTTAGTAGGCGGGACAGACGCTTAAGCTGGCCAAGCTGACAGTAATCTAGTGAGACTCCCCACAGGGATAGATCGATCTAAAAATCTATGGAAATGGGGTGTTAGAGAAGGTTTTCAGTTTTGGCATCTTATGGCTGCTACTCCCGTGAAAATGCACTGATCAATCCCAAACTCAAGAATATGAAAGATGACCCTAAGGTTAACACCTGCCCATAATATTATAGGTTAAGTCTGTGTAGTTTCTGAAAATCGACAGAAATATTTTTTTTTTTTTTTTTTTGCAAAAAAAAATCCCATTTTTAGTAAATTTTGGCCCTTTTGACCTTGAAATAAAAGTCAAACGTCAATTCCAAGGGCATATTTGAAATCTCCACATATGACTTTCGGTTAGCCATCTGTAGAAATTTTCCTATATTCCTTCAGTTTGGGAGATATTTAGCATTTAATTTTGCAAATTTTGGACAAGGGTGCATTTCAGTGCCACACCTGGACTGCAGAACCGACAAAGCCCGAAATTTATGTGGATCGAGTTGAGATTATATGTGACCCAAATCCAAGAGATGGGAATGCAGGTTCTTGTAGTCTAGGAGGAGAAGCAGTAACGATAACTTGGCGGCAGAGCCACAGGAGCTGGAAGAGCCGGTGGAACATGCGGGTTGGGACCAAAACCATGGGTACCACCAGCGCCTACACTGGTAGTACAATAATGCCGTACTGTTTATTATTTTTACGTGACAAGATTCCTTTATAATTTCTAAACTAAATAAAATTTTGTGCCCTTTTGCAAGAATTATAAATCAACATAAGCAAATGAGCATAACTGGTTTAGGAACTTATCTTGAAAATGTAAACTATTGTAAATGGCAAAATACTACTTGCATTTTCAAACACACCAAAAAGATTCATGATGAACACAAACAATTCACAAAGTATATTTGAAACAGTTAAATTAACTGCATGACAAATATTATATTCCCTATATAACCCAGCTCTTTGTCAGGCTTCATTACATCAGACATGTTTCACACCGAGTGTTAGCTGCTTGACTAAATAACACAACCCGTAATATTTAAAAACATTAAGATATTGTAACCCTTCGCCCAAAACTCCTTATTTTCTGCCTTACACACATTTTTTTCTTGGTAATAGATAAATCTTCAGTGTTCAGTAACTAAATAAATTAACATTTACACATGTCATCTTACGGGTGACATCATAATTGCGATGAAAACTGAAAAATCTGTTTCTCAAATTTATCTGTTACCTGAGCACTCATGATCTCTGTTTCAATGCCCATTTAATGACATCATTTAGTACTCCAAAACCCTGCCAGAGATTTTTCTAAGTCTTAGTTCTGATTTTATCATTTATAAAGCAAAATGCCTTTGATCAATGAAAATCTGTAATCGGGGGCTCGTAACTCCATAACAAAAACATTTCAACCAAAATGATGGCATGAGATTGAAGCCTATACGCTCCTGGTCAACTTTATCAATTTTCATGATAAAATCATGTTCAGGGATGAAATTACGCCCCATCCTGATTGCTATCTTACCTCAAAATAGAAAGGTGTTGAATTGACAATTAAAGCTTTGAGTTTCCTATGATTATAAATTGCAAGGAGAAATATAAACAGATATTTTATATTTTTGAGGGTATTTTTAATTGTTTTAAATTGCCACAAAGATAAATGTAAATGCATCATTTTCGGTATCTGGATAAAAATAAAGGGTTACAATACCATTTAACACTAAGAGACTGTCTGCAGTTTTTTCCCCATTTAATTCTTTCCATTGGCAGGTGAGGCTACTGAAGCATTTGCCCTGTTTGAGCTCAGCACCCCTTCATACTTCATTATTTCTTACACAAATTAGCATCTCTGAATCTAAATTCTTATCTTGTTTGGTAAAATATTGGCTAACACCCAAGATCAAAGCATGTTAGCAAGTATGGTGTTCTTGTGCCAGTAAATAAATTCTGCATCGTACCAGCCTTACTATAGGTTAAGTTGCAAGCTATAAAAAGGAACTCTTACATTTAAAATAAATCTTCAAAGACAAGTGGCAGCTGTCTTCAGAGGTAGCAAGGAAGAAAAAGTGTTTGTTTAGAAAAATGCATAAGAAACAAGACCATAGGAAAGAACCAGTTTACCTGCTCTGGTGACCTATCTCGTCCTACTGGTTTATCTGCCCTCTGTGTGCTGCTGGAAGAGCTATGAATGACCTGTGGAACTCGTGCAGGATGTAAAGCTGCAACATACAAACAAGTTAAAAGTTTATTTTACTGTTCTGGGTAGCATACCTGATCATACAGTAGGATCTATGCCAGGGAACATGGTAGAAGATTAAAAATGTTTAACACACAATATTGGATTTGCTCTCAACAGCTGCACGGGTACAGGTTTCTTTCTAAGGTATAACCAATTTATAAAATTGACTTGTTAGGTGGATGAACAGCTGTCTAATTACTGCTCAATTTGCAGCATCCTTTCATCAGTTCAAATTACATAGGATGAAAAATTAATTATTTTTGCACCTAACACATAAAATACTAATCATAAAATCTTTGTAAACAGCAATTAATTCGCAAATAATAAATCCAAAGCTTGTGTGCCTTGAGAGAGAGAGAGAGAGAGAGAGAGAGAGAAAGAGAGTTGAAACTTAAAGTTGGACTAAAAATCTTTAAATGCAGGAAGGCATGCAGCTCAATATGAGGAGTTTGGGGGGATATATACAACACCCAAATATCTGGATGTATATAATCACCACATTTAGGTATTTTAGATATTGAATCTTAAATAAACATATAACATTACTGTCACTGAAGTCCAATTATAAATTTTGAGCAAAACAGTTTGTTCATGTTTGAACAAACAACACATTCTTGAAAATATAAAGGCTTATTTATTCTTTTCAAAATCTGGGCAATCAATCCAGGACAGCATTGCATGAGGATACAGTATTGGTAATATTAAACTTCCATCCTGCACTGCTTTAAATGTAAGTCCCTTCAAAGCTTTCATGGTACAAAAAAAGTAATGCTCTTTGTAAACATGACCAGGATATGGGATTTTTATTTTCAGACTGACTGCGTAACAATATCTTAAAATAGATATTATCCTCAAAGATATGCAGTAATTAAAATACCGCCCATTGGTAGGTGGAAATATTATGACAAGTAATTCTAAAAGTCTGTAAATTGCCAAAGACATGAGAGCTTTCTAATGCAGACATTAAGGTTATAAGTTGAGAACTCCCCCCACCCCCCAAAAAAGAGAAAAAAGTTGAATTGCTGGGTACAGGGACTGAACGTTTATAGTCAAATCTGGGTTAAAATTCTGAGAAAAAAAAATTAGTAAAAAATTTACAGTATGTTCCTGTGTTTGAAAACAGAAGAAGGAAAAGGAGACAAAATAACATTCAAATCTCTTTTACTTACATTTACGGTCTGGGTCAGAGCTTCTTCTCCTCCTTAAACTTGAAGCCTGAGAGGCTTTGGCTGCTTCCTCAAGGAGTTGTGCATTTACTTTTCTGTCTGCCTCTGTAAGTTCCATCTCTTCAACTTTTCCATTAACTAATTTAAAAGTTTTGTCCTCCTGAAGGAATTCAACATTATCTGATTATTACATTTACATTTTTCATTTTCTTCACCAATAGGCAGGTAAGTACATTTTGCTTCTATGCTCTGAAATCAAGAATGCCATTAATCAGTTTAAAGATTTACTAACTTCTCTTTACATGCCACTAATAGGCAAATGTGTATATCTTGGATCATTACGATACGACTTCTTTTGCCCCCCAAAAAAAGGTATTTTCAAATGATAATTCTAGAGTATCTGCCAAAATATTTATCACTTAGATGCTCTTGATCTTGACCAGTTTCTTTTCAGCTTGGCTGCTACATCTCAAGAACTATGTAATGCAAGCTGGCACTTCATGACTGGCAAAATGAAAAGCAGTCACAAATGCTAGCTATACATGGATGCCCCTTTAAGCTTTTGGAATTAGCTCATAACTGTCAAGTAGCGCTCAAGAGCACATTTTACTTTTTTCTACTGTCAAGAGGTACTGTGTTATGCAATAAACTACTTTATCTTGTTGTTTATCAAATTTCCTTATCTAGACTGACCATCACAGTTTCAAGACAAATTATGCAAATACTGTTAACATCTTTGATGGTTTGGTTTTAGGATAGGTCATCTTCAAAGATTAGCCAAAGGATAGTCTAAAACTGATAGCCATACCTGTTTGTAAAATCTTTTCTCAAACCTCAGCTACAAAACAGTTTTGTGAATATTTGAAATGAGCATTTTTTCTTTTATCAGCCATAAGCCACACCTTTCACAAGGAAAATGTAGGTTACGACAAAGTTGAATAATTTCCACCAAAACGTATTTAAATGAATGTGCACGTCTGCACAATCATGCAAGCATAAGCTTAAAAGCTCACCATTGATGACCCTAAAGTCTCTCTTTTTTCTCTGTCCTTCATTGCCAATCTTTTCCTTCTTGCTGAGGACAAATCTCCATCACTGCTGCCCAATCTTGAAGGTCTTCAAAATAATTAAAAGAAAATATTTACAAATAAGCCTTCTGTTGACAAGGACCTCTGTTATGTAAACCAATACTTTAGGTTGGGTGGTGGAAAAAAGTTCATGAAAATATCCCAGTTGTGTTAAACATCTACAACCTTTTATGAGTAAACATCTATAGATATGTTCAACAATAATGTTTCCTCTGATTTTTGAATATGGTTTTTGGGAATGGAAGTGATTAATATTTCTACAAAGAGCATGATACAATCTAATTTCAAGTACATTTTTGTTCATTTAAGCAAATCATAAATCCACTTCATATTGATTTCAAAATTATCTTTTAAAAAGAACACCATTTGTCCCCATTGGATATTGTATCACGATAGTAAAGTTGAATGGAACGCATGTTTAGCATAAAACAAAACTGACTAGGTTATAACAGATAAACTGTTACAGAAAATTGGCAAGTAAAAGACCTGGCCCCCATTTCACAAAAAAACTTAAGTCGGTTTCCCTGACTAAGAGCTTGGGTTACCAAGGTAATTAAGTCGTTACGTCACTATAAGTCCCGTTTCACAAAGAATCTAAAAGGTCACTTACACTGCTTTTTTCTTAGCTGTTAGTCGACGATGTCCTCGATAGGAGACTTAAGTCAGCAAACTCAACTAAAAGTCGGTAAATTACAGCATAAACAACAAAAAATTGGAAAGAACATACCTCCTTCAAGATATAGTGTTATAATGTCCTTGAATAGCACTGACATTTATTGAATATTTAAATAAAAAATAAAATACACCTTCACCCAGCCGATCGCGGGTTTGTTTATGTTTTTGACCGCTAGATGTGCGACAGCAATGTTCCAAGACAAGCTAATGTTTTACTGTTGCTTTGAAGTTGCATTAAAATTAAACTAATCAATAAAGTTCAAAAACAAACTTCGCTTATGTTTTGACTGATCTTTATTGTTGATAAACGATCATTCTCGGCCGAAAGAGGTCATGAAATGTCATGTCTTGTGAAACTTTAGAAATTTTACACCTCCTTTTCTTGAAGAGTTTCTCGTGCATGTTGACTACGGTAAGCACGCCAAGCTAAGACATCAGATTCTTTGTGAAACACTCCTAGTCGACTGTAGCGTAGTCGACCTAGCTAGGTCACTAAGCTCGAGCTTGTCAACTACGGATTTAAGATTCTTTGTGAAACGGGGGCCTGTTTACTTCTGAAATATCAAAAAGGAATCAACTGTCTTTAATATGTAATCTTATAAATCATTTGTAACATGAACAGCCTAAGTCAGTAGGGCAGCAGTATCATGAGAATTACCTACAGGTTTTGTCTTATAGCAAAGTCAGCAACAAATAAGGTTCCATAGCAAACTGGCATCACTTAGTTTTCTTATAACCATACATGTGCAAAGAAATACAGCAAAAATGACTGTGTGCCTGTTGCACAGGTATTATACTTTAAGTTTTTGACAACTAGGAGTATAATCAATATAAACACTAAGACTAAATTTCTAAACAAATTCAAACTTATGTTGCTTGCTTGTCATGATGTTTGTCATAACATTAAAAATCACCAAAACATAAGATAACTGAAATCGGCATCAACCAGACAAAATTATACACAGGTTAAGCTTGAATAGCTATACATGTCATTTCAAACTCCTTGCAAACAGTGGATTTTCTACATCAATATTGGCTGCTGTCTGATTGTAGCACTTTCTTTTATAGCATCCAACTTGCATAGCCACTCCAATCTTTAAAGGGATCTGTTCTCCTTAGTTTAAATAACAGATATACAATATTCTAAACCATATGGGACGATAATCAAGAACATTCACACTTACCCTGGTAAAGAACTCCCAGAAGGCTCCATCTTGACAGGTGTTGAATCTGCTTCTGTGTCTGACAGTTCCTCTTCCATCAGTGCACTGAGTCTTGATGAGGAATGCAGTAGAGGGCGGCTGAAAAATGCACAAATCTGATAGTAATATTTCAAATGTAAGCCTGCTTGAAAAAATAACACAATTTCTCCAGGTAAACTTTAGCATGCACATTTTATAGGAGCTCACTAAATTATACCAAATTAAACAAACATGAAATAAATTGTTTAACGCCCTCTACAACTGTCTGATGATGTCCAATGTCAGACAGCAATCCTGAAGTACAGGTGATACACTATGCAGTAACTCAAAAATAGATACACTGTATTCATTCATGATAAAACCATTCATGAACTGTTATTTACACAACTGATTTCAATCAGTGCCATATTCATCCCAAAATTACATGTATCGGAAGTAAAACTCTGTTCATTTAATTTTAATCACTACATCAGCGAGGAAAAAAACACTTTTAAGTTTTATTTATCCAAATAAGAATCAGGATTTTTTTAATCTAAAAATGACTATAAAGAAAATAGAAAAGAAATCTGATTCGGTATTTGTGTAACTGAAAAAACACGTAGAGTGTAAAAGTCTATATTCATCCTTTTTAAATTTTTTATCAATATAGCAATTTTACATAAAATGTACAAAAAAAAAAAAAAAGATTCAATGCAATACTACCATAATTCAAGAAAAATAACAAGCTTGGAGCAAAATAAAGTTCACTCACCTGGACCTGTCATCTGGAAACAATTGACCACAAATTCGGGAACTACAGTGGGCCATGATGTCCACAAGGCCTTCGTAATTCTCTGATTTAAAGCCTGCAGCAGAGTTAATTTTACTCCTCAAATCCAAAATTTCTTTCACATCTTCACCTGTATTTCCTTCAGAGCCCTGCAGGATAAGAGGTGATCCATTATGTGCTTTGGTGTCAGGGCTTGATTCAGTGCTTGAACTTAGATCATTGGCTTCAACACTCTCATATGACTCCTGCTTGCAGTCTTTAAAATTTTCTCTCCTTAAAACACTTTTCTTGCATTGTCTGAATTCATATGAATGGTCATCAGGTTTAACTTTCACTGAAAAAAAAGTACCCTCTTCTGGAAGCAATTCATAGCAACTTTCTCTGTAATGACTTGGTAATGCAGCATTGTCCTCTGCAGTATTTACCTGGCAACCAAAATCCTGTAGCAATGGAGGTTTCCTCTTGTTCTGTGTTCCAGTGAAAAATGGTCGTCTCCCTTGTATAGATAATTGTTGACAAGACTTCACCAAGCATTGTGACTGAGATGACCCTCTTCCAGAACAAAAATTGCATAGACTACTTATTCTCTTTTGAAAGCTGGACTCTAAATCAAGAGCATCTGAAACAGATCATGTTTAATATAGATATCCGCAGTTCTGAATATGTTTTAATGTCTCTTAACAAGCATTTACCAGTAAATACCAATTATTTTATGAATAACCATAAATACTTGAATTATATTTGTATATATATATCTCCATACATTTTTTGTCTGCCTATATATGTCAAAAGAAATCTTATGTTGACAACAGGACTTTGAAAAAAAAAATAAGTACATGTGCTAAAAATAAACTATCAATTTGACAAAAAAAATTGTCGTTTCATCATCAGTAGGTTTTTATATACAGTTATTTTCCATTGTGTCAACCTTTTTCTTTAAACGAATTGTTATACTATATCAGGGTTGGAAACTCCTCCTAAAATTCAACCAGACAGCAGGACAGGTTACTCTTGAAAGTTACCTGTCCTACCATAAACCAACCTGTCCTCATAAAATCGAGAGAATTATGATAATAATGTGCATGTATGACTAAATTTAATAATTCAAGACATTTTTGAATGTTGTTTTCTTTCAAACTTCATAAATAAAACTCATAATACCAGTGCTGTCTTGATACCAAAGAATCAAATTTATTTTTATATTCAGTTATGGTCTGTCCCCCCA